CCAAGGGACCCCACGTCCAACACAACCAAGGGACCCCACATCCAACACAACCAAGGGACCCCACGTCCAACACGACATAGGGACCCCACGTCCAACAGGTTCCACAAAGTGACACCCCCCGCGCCACCCCAACCAACAACGCGCCACGACCCAAACTTATCCAACTTGCCGCCATATTGGCCCCGCGACCTACTATGCATTGATACACTTAATACACCGTTGATACACTTAATACACCGTTGATACACTTAATACACCGTTGTCAACACCCACTCAGTATGCCTCCAGTTGTATAGTACGAGAGAGAAGTATTCCTTTACCGCTGTACAAGGTGTACAATATATAATAGTACCCCCCTTCTGTACAACGTCTATAATGGCACCCACCTGTTTGTTATCGTTTTAGCGACGGATTATATTATGCATCAACTTGCGCTTTGTAACGACGCGTCTCATTGGTCAAATACCGGTTTATATTTTGTATTGATTTATTTATATATATACAAGAGTTCTTACATTCTTGTATAGCCACTAGCACGCATAGCGTTTCGGGCGGGTAAGGGCCCAGGAAGCAGCCCGTAGCAGCTGTCTAACTCCCAGGTACCTATTTACTGTTAGGGTGAACAGAAGCATCAAGCTGAAAAACCACTCTGCCCATTTGTTTCCACTTGCACCGGGGATTGAACCCGGACTATGAACCCCGAGTGCTGTCCACTCAGCCGCGAGGCGCCCAATATGGTGGGCAAAGTACGGTGCCACTAGAGTCCAGCTGGGGCCAGATTCACGAAAGCACTTACGAACCTGTCCATCTTTTCTCAATCTTTGGCGGCTTTGTTTACAATTATTAAACAGTTAATGAGCTCGGAAGCACCAGGAGGCTGTTTATAACAATAACAACAGTTGATTGGCAAGTTTTCATGTTTGTAAACTGTTTAATAAACGTAACCAAAGCCGTCAAAGATTGAGGAAAGATGTACACGTTCGTAAGTGCTTTCGTGAATCTGGCCCCAGTTTAATGGATAATGGTGGACCCAAGAGCTAGAGCCTAGCACAGGTCTCTGATCCAAGCTCGTCGGTTTGAAAAATGTTAATAATCGGAAGATCGGTTAAGAAATGAGAGATAACCCATTGTAGACACGGGCCCTAGAACAACCCGTTCTCGCAAATTTAATAAGTCAATATTGACTTATAAGTTGCGTGCATAGGTGACACACTAAACATAATAGTTTCCCTTGGAAAGCTTCATAGAGAACATCGACCTTACCTAACCTACTTAGTATGTTAAAATAAGCATCTTATAGCTTCGTAATTACAATTGTTAATTACCCTATTATAGGTATAGGTTAGGTAATAATTGTAATTACGAAGCAATAAGATGCTTATCTTAACATACTAAGTAGGTTAGGTAAAGTCGGTGTTTTCTATGAAGCTTTTCAAGGGAAACTATTATGTTAAGTATGTCACCTATGCACATATTTAATAAGTCAATATTGACATATTAAATTTGCGAGAACGGGTTGCCTAGAATTACTGCCTGCCCACCTTAGAGGGCCCATCGCAGGAGCTGGGGGAAGAGGGGGAGTTGGAGAAGGGAAGGGGGAGAGTTGGGGGAGGTGAGCGACTCCCAAAGGAGGGAGACGAAGAGAGGCAAGACACCAGGAAGAACTCTTCAAGACTTACCCCAGCTGTCTAGTCTCTCACGTGAGGCAAGAGGGACCCATCAAGACTTACCCCAGCTGTCTGGTCCCTCACGTGAGGCAAGAGGGACCCATCAAGACTTACCCCAGCTGTCTAGTCTCTCACGTGAGGCAAGAGGGACCCATCAAGACTTACCCCAGCTGTCTGGTCCCTCACGTGAGGCAAGAGGGACCCATCAAGACTTACCCCAGCTGTCTGGTCCCTCACGTGAGGCAAGAGGGACCCATCAAGACTTACCCCAGCTGTCTGGTCCCTCACGTGTGGCAGATAAACACTTCACACTTCACATCAAGAAGTTCATCTACACATGGATAGAATAATCATGTAATGTAACTATTGTGCAGTTGCGGGGTTAAAGGAGACTTATAATTCAATTTTGCCGGGAGGACAGGAAGCCAGGGTGTATTCATACACGTTGGGATTTTATACGAGGTATCCCTTCCCCGGGGCCTCGTAGCCTGGTGGATAACGGGGGCCTCGTAGCCTGGTGGACAGCGCGCAGGACTCGTAATTCTGTGGCGCGGGTTCGATTCCCGCACGAGGCATTAACAAATGGGCAAAAGTTTCTTTCACCCTGAATGCCCCTGTTACCTAGCAGTAAATAGGTACCTGGGAGTTAGTCAGCTGTCACGGGCTGCTTCCTGGGAGTGGAGGCCTGGTCGAGGACCGGGCCGCGGGGACACTAAAAGCCCCGAAATCATCTCAAGATAACCCCTTCTCTCAGGGTTGAACTACTGACCCCGCCCAGGATGCAACCAACCAACAACAAGCTATCTCCCAAGTACCTACTCACTGCTAGGTGAACGGAGGCATTAGGTGAAAGGAAATGTGCCAAACTATTTCTGTCCCGCCCGGGATTCGAACTCGGAATTCTCGCTTGTGCGTCGAGAAGGAACCCGAGCGTAATACCGGGACCCAGGGTACTAACAACTTTCTGCGGTGCAGGCGATGAGTCACAATAACGTGGCTAAAGTATGTTGACCAGACCACACACTAGAAGGTGAAGGGGGGACGACATTTCGGTCCGTCCTGGACCATTCTCAAGTCGACTTGAGAAAGGTCCAGGACGGACCGAAACGTCGTCATCCCCTTCACCTTCTAGTGTGTGGTCTGGTCAACAACTTTCTGCCGTGTATCGATGGGTTCTGAGAATGTGTGGAACATCAGCTGGCAACGTTGTGTGAAGATATGTTTCGATCACAATGATGAACTCTGCTTCTATTACAACGGCGGGCGCCTGACAGCTGGGTGGATATCGCTTCCGATTCGTAGTCCTGAGGTTCCAGGTTCGATCCCCGGTGGATGCGGAGACAAATGGGCAAAATATTTCTTGTCACCCTGATGCCCCTGTTACCTAGCAGTCAATAAGTACCTGGGAGTTAGTCAGCTGCTATGGGCCACTGCTTCCTGGGGGTGTGTAACAAAAAGGAGGCCTGGTCGAGGACCGGGCCGCGGGGACGCTAAGCCCCGAAATCATCTCAAGATTACCTCAAGATGGCTACACATAAGTTTATGGGCTTCTATACCTTTGACAATGAGCTAATTCAGTTCCAGTTATTCCTCTGTTATTTTTGTAATCAGAAAAATGAAGACTGTTGGCTAAAACAATTTATGTATAACATCATACTTGATAACAAGTTCAAGTTACTTTTACTGTTCTGGTAAACAGATTTTTTAATAATTGAAGCTCTTCAAAGTTTAAGGGGGCAACAATCTTGAGTTATCTTGAGATGATTTCGAGGGTTTTTTTTTTTTTAGTGTCCCCGCGGCCCGGTCCTCGACCAGGCCTCCACCCCCAGGAAGCAGCCCGTGACAGCTGACTAACTCCCAGGTACCTATTTACTGCTAGGTAACAGGGGCATTCAAGGTGAAAGAAACTTTGCCCATTTGTTTCTGCCTCGTGCGGGAATCGAACCCGCGCCACAGAATTACGAACCCTGCGCGCTATCCACCAGGCTACGAGGCCCCATGCCCAAAATTGTCTCATAATGTACTGTATTGTACTTGCCTATTTGTGCTTGCTGGGGGGTTTGAGCTTTGGCTCTTTGGTCCCGCCTCTCAACCATCAATCAACTGGTGTACAGATTCCTGAGCCTACTGGGCTCTATCATATCTACATTTGAAACTGTGTATGGAGTCAGCCTCCACCACTTCACTGCCTAATATATTCCATTTACTAGTTACTCTTGACACTGAAAACGTTCTTTCTAATGTCTCTGTGGCTCATTTGGGTACTAAGTTTCCACCTGTGTCCCCTTGTTTGTGTTCCACCCGTGCTATAGAGTTTGTCTTTGTCCACCTTGTCAATTCCCCTGAGACTTTTGTAGGTAGTGATCATGTCTCCCCTTATTCTTGCCCAACACGTGTCAGGTCCACGGTGGTTCGAGACGCACACAGCCAGGTGAACGGACAGTTTATATGTTTACACACAGAAATCACAATAGCGTGATGCACTGTGATGCGTGTGAAGTCAGCGGAATTCCCAGTTGCAATTCTTATGACCATATCGTGGCCTAGTCGACTAAGGCAGCGTCTGGGATCATCCCGGGCGTAAGTTCAAACCCTCGTCGCGGCCCTTGTGGATTTGTTAATATGTTTAATTTTGCTATACATTACTGTAGCCTGAACCTGGGTTAAGGCAAATAGGGAAAAATAAAAAGGAGACATACAAAGGTCTGCCAAGGAGGCCATAGGATAAGTGTTTAAGACAATGAAGAGAGTTGACCAGACCACATACTGTACTAGAAAGTGAAGGGGCGACGACATTGTGGTCCGTCCTGGACCATTCTCAAGTCGATGGATTCTCATCGCCTTGAGAATGGTCCAGGACGGATCGAAACGTCGTCGTCCCTTCACCTTCTAGTGTGTGGTCTGGTCAACATACTTCAGCCACGTTATTGTGACTCGTCGCCTGCAATTAAGAGAGGGAACACCATCACATGAAAAACACTTCCCAAAATACCATAACAACCCCAACAAGACTCGGAGCCGGTCGGCCGAGCGGACAGCACGCTGGACTTGTGATCCTGTGGTTCGATCCCAGGCGCCGGCAAGAAACAATGGGCAGAGTTTCTTTCACTCTATGCCCCTGTTACCTAGCAGTAAATAGGTACCTGGGTGTTAGTCAGCTGTCACGGGCTGCTTCCTGGGGGTGGAGGCCTGGTCGAGGACCGGGCCGCGGGGACACTAAAAGCCCTGAAATCATCTTAAGATCTCAACAAGACTCACCAAAATGTGCTCCGCAGTTGAGTGCACCATAGAGTGACTCCCTACATTCCCCCTCACAACCCCAGTGGTACTCACCTCAAGGAGATCAATCATCTTGGTCATCTGGGAGTATATGAGAACACGGTGGCCCTCGGCCTTCAGTCTAGAGAGAAGGGTGTCCAGCACATACAGCTTTCCAGCATCCATGATCAGCGAGTGTTTATCTGCCACAGAAAAGTTTTCGTAAGTACTTAGGACATATGGTGGAAAGTCATATCTGTGGTTACAAACCATATCTAAGGGTGTTGACCAGACCACACACTAGAAGGTGAAGGGACGACGACATTTCGGTCCGTCCTGGACCATTCTCAAGTCAATTGTCTAGTACCTCATTATGATACCTCATCACGGTACCTCCACAATCGACTTGAGAATGGTCCAGGACGGACCGAAACGTCGTCGTCCCTTCACCTTCTAGTGTGTGGTCTGGTCAACATACTTCAGCCACGTTATTGTGACTCGTCGCCTGCATGTCTAAGGGTGATGGAATATTCAGGTTATCTTCTTGAGATCTTGAGAGGTTATCTTGAGATGATTTCGGGGCTTTTAGTGTCCCCGCGGCCCGGTCCTCGACCAGGCCTCCACCCCCAGGAAGCAGCCCGTGACAGCTGGCTAACTCCCAGGTACCTATTTTACTGCTAGGTAACAGGGGTAGGTGTACAGTGCCTCCAAAATCTGGAGTATACAGTGCCTCCAAAATCTGGAGTATACAGTGCCTCCAAAATCTGGAGTATACAGTGCCTCCAAAATCTGGAGTATACAGTGCCTCCAAAATCTGGAGTATATGAGTCCGGTCCGTTTGGAGCCGGTCGGCCGAGCGGACAGCATGCGGGACTTGTGATCCTGTGGTCCCGGGTTCGATCCTAGGCGCCGGCGAGAAACAATGGGCAGAGTTTCTTTCACCCTAAGCCCCTGTTACCTAGCAGTAAAATAGGTACCTGGGTGTTAGTCAGCTGTCACGGGCTGCTTCCTGGGGGTGGAGGCCTGGTCGAGGACCGGGCCGCGGGGACACTAAAAAAAAAAGCCCCGAAATCATCTCAAGATAACCTCAAGATGTGTTTTAAAGTTTGTGCCAATGTCCTCCCTAAAATTGATGTTATTAAACTAAAAAGATTATACACATTTGTGTGTGTAGTAGGAGTGCAAATGCATGCTCGCTCATGGCGAACACTTGGCTGACTTTCACCTTTGCTGCGGGGTGGGTGGGGGAGTGGGGCTTGATACTTTGGACTTTATATGCATATACCCCTGTAGGGAATTCTATTGCAAACAAATTGATACCAAAATGAACGATGAAGCATGAGAATTGAGGTGAGAATCCCGAAAACAGTAGACACATTTTGGTGGGGTTGCGCTCCGCTCCTGTACCAGGTAATTCCACTACGGGCTCACCATAGCCCGTGCTACTTGGAACGTTTTGTTCCAAGCAGCTGAACCTAAAATAACATCATGTATGCCTTGCTACCTATGGGTATTTAATTTCATAACGCTTGTTTAGTGGGGCTTACACGTTTTGGCGTATTTTCATTCAATTTGATGTTGATTCTGTGATCCCTTAGCTCCCCTCACCTGGAAGGCCCATGCGGGTCTCAGAAGCCTAGTGTAATTCCCTTAAGATTGGCAGCCCCACTGTTATAGCTACAGCAAGTTAGTAAGGCACTTTCCCAGAAATTGGTATTGATAATGTGTCAAAAATCCAGGAAAACAAATTGCAAGATTAAGAAAATGAAGTGTTCACCAGTCAAATTTCAAATTTCACCAGTCTCCGTGGTGTAGTGGTAAGACACTCGCCTGGCGTTCCGCGAGCGCTTTGTCACGGGTTTCGTATCCTGGCCGGGGAGGATTTACTGGGCGCAAATCCTTAACTGTAGCCTCTGTTTAACTCAACAGTAAAATGGGTACTTGGTTGTAACAACGATTCTTCGCGGCAGGGATCGTATTCCAGGGACCTGCCCGAAGCGCTACGCGTACTAGTGGCTGTACAAGAATGTAACAACTCTTGTATATATATCTCAAAAAGAAAAAAAAAAGTGGAGATTGAGGAAAGAAAAGCATAAACCTACCAGGAATGAGGACATGGCTCCAGCCCAGCTTAGGATAGGCGCCTCTTAATCCCCCCAACTCCACGACTGCTATGCGCTGCTTCCTCTCCGTCCACTCCTTCTCCAACTGATAAACACAAATTTGGGGTAATTACGGAATTCAATATTTTAAAACAAAATACAGTACTGTAGAATAAAAAAAAATTATGTAAATACATAAGTGGCAAAATAAAGATAAGCACTAGAGTACTTGTAAATATAGATAATATAGAGAGGTGTAGCATTGTAAATATTGATCTTAAAGATAATATAGAGAGGCGTAGCATTGTAAATATTGATCTTGGAGATAATATAGAGAGGCGTAGCATTGTAAATATTGATCTTGGAGATAATATAGAGAGGCGTAGCATTGTAAATATTGATCTTGGAGATAATATAGAGAGGCGTAGCATTGTAAATATTGATCTTGGAGATAATATAGAGAGGCGTAGCATTGTAAATATTAATCTTAAGAGATTATATAGAGAGGCGTAGCATTGTAAATATTGATCTTGGAGATAATATAGAGAGGCGTAGCATTGTAAATATTAATCTTAAGAGATAATATAGAGAGGCGTAGCATTGTAAATATTGATCTTAGAGATAATATAGAGAGGCGTAGCATTGTAAATATTGATCTTAAGAGATAATATAGAGAGGCGTAGCATTGTAAATATTGATCTTAAGACATAATATAGAGAGGTGTAGCATTGTAAATATTGATCTTAAGACATAATATAGAGAGGCGTAGCATTGTAAATATTGATCTTAAGAGATAATATAGAGAGGCGTAGCATTGTAAATATTGATCTCCGAGATAATATAGAGAAGCATGGCATTGTAACTATTGATCTCCGAGATAATATAGAGAAGCGTGATATTGTAAATAATGATCTTGGAGATAATATAGAGAAGCGTGACATTGTAAATAATGATCTTAGAGATAATATAGAGAGGTGTAGCATTGTAACTATTGATCTCCGAGATAACATAGAGAGGTGTGGCATAAGAGCAAAACAATATTCTTACCTGTGGAGAGCCATGGAGGAGGCACGCAAGACCCTCAAGGGTGTCACAGTGGCTGCTCCGCACCCTCCACCATGCAGCCGTTCGGTCATGACATACCAGTTCCTTTTCCAAACACTGTGCCTGGTAAAATAACACAAATATTCAAACGAGGCGTCACAATAACGTGGCTGAAATATGTTGACCAAACCACACAAACCACACACTAGAAAGTGAAGGGACGACGACGTTTCGGTCAGTCCTGGACCATTATCAAGTCGATTGCGAGAATCGACGAGAGAATGGTCCAGGACGGACCGAAACGTCGTCGTCCCTTCACTTTCTAGTGTGTGGTCTGGTCAACAATACAAATATTACTCTCTCACCTGTAAATACTGTACCCATTAATCAATAAATTAATACTTCTTGAGGTTATCTTGAGATGATTTCGGGGCTTTAGTGTCCCCGCGGCCCGGTCCTCGACCAGGCCTCCACCCCCAGGAAGCAGCCCGTGACAGCTGACTAACACCCAGGTACCTATTTTACTGCTAGGTAACAGGGGCATAGGGTGAAAGAAACTCTGCCCATTGTTTCTCGCCGGCGCCTGGGATCAAACCCGGGACCACAGGATCACAAGTCCAGTGTGCTGTCCGCTCGGCCGACCGGCTCCCTAAACTTTATCAAAAGAGATAGTTAACCTCTCCGGAAGAAGCAAAAAAAAAAAAAAAAGGGGAATACGATGACCTTCAATGCAGTAAAGAATACGAAAAGATACATGTAAAAATTTGAGTAATCTGACAAGACGCAGAACCAGAAAGGGCGAGCTCAACCTAGCAAAGAATATGCTGATATATACATATCACCCATACATATGCTATATACATATGATATACCCAAATATATACAAAACATTAGCAGTAAATACAAGAGTAATACATGAAATACTACAAGCGGGGAGCCGGTCGGCCGAGCGGACAGCATGCTGGACTTGTGATCCTGTGGTCCCGGGTTCGATCCCAGGCGCCGGCGAGAAACAATGGGCAGAGTTTCTTGCACCCTATGCCCCTGTTACCTAGCAGTAAAATAGGTACCTGGGTGTTAGTCAGCTGTCACGGGCTGCTTCCTGGGGGGTGGAGGCCTGGTCAAGGACCGGGCCGCAGGAACACTAAAGCCCCGAAATCATCTCAAGATAACCATGATAAGCCCTAATAACATCACATGCAAGTAATCTCTCGTATAATACCCCCAGCCGACTCATTCTCTCGCTTACCTTCTTCCCCACAATTTGATGCTTACCTTTGGGCAGGTGTGCATGAGGAAACTCGGAAGTATGGTGGGCTGACAGGTACGGATGAGAAGGAGGCGCTTGACGTGACGACTCATTCTCTCGCTTACCTTCTCCCCTCAATTTGATGCTTACCTTTGGGCAGGTGTGCATGAGGAAACTGGGAAGTATGGTCGGCTGACAGGTACGGATGAGAGGGAGGCGCTTGACGTGACGACTCATTCTCTCGCTTACCTTCTCCCCTCAATTTGATGCTTACCTTTGGGCAGGTGTGCATGAGGAAACTGGAAAGTACGGTGGGCTGACAGGTACGGATGAGAGGGAGGCGCTTGACGTGACGACTCATTCTCTCGCTTACCTTCTCCCCCCAATTTGATGCTTACCTTTGGGCAGGTGTGCATGAGGAAACTGGGAAGTATGGTCGGCTGACAGGTACGGATGAGAGGGAGGCGCTTGACGTGACGCACTTCAGGTAGCAGGCACAGCTCCGTCACTCCGCTCTCGGCTCCCTCCTCACCTTCCATCAACTTGGCCTCTTTCTGTCGTCAATACAAAACATTTCTTTTTAATTTCTCAATCTTACAAAACCATCACATACTTTTCCGCTATCTATTCTGATGGGTTACTTCATCTTTTAGGAAGTCTGTGATGTAGAATCAAACAACTTTAAAATATGCACAGCCCCCCAAACTTCAAAAAGTTAGCGGGATGAATTTTGCTTTATATCGACTTATATAGAAGAAGGCCAATGTATAAAAGGTGATGTGGATGGTATGATGCTTCCTGGACTTATGCTCTTGTGATTCACCGGCAATGGAGTTTCCGGTGACTTGTGACCCCTCATGATTTGGTTAGTGTTGCAAGCAGAGGCTGTTGGACCGTGTCCAGGCTGTTGGACGTGGCTGCAAGCAGCGGCGTCCAACAGCCTGATTGACCAGTCTAGCAACGAGGCGGCCTGGTCGAGGACCGGGCCGCGGGAATGCTAAGCCCCAAAATCATCTCAAGGTAACCTCAAGGTATACATTTTTTTATTATAGTTTCTAAATATCATGCATGTTCTCCTGAACTCAACCACTACTCAACCACTTTGACAAAATCACAGATGCATTAGAAGAAAAACAAAATGCAGATGTTGTATACACATACTTTGCAAAGGCAAGTTGACCATACCACACACTAGTAGGTGAAGGGACGATGACGTTTCGGTCCGTCCTGGACCATTCTCAAGTCGATTTGAGAATGGTCCAGGACGGACCGAAACGTGGTCGTCTCTTCGCCTTCTAGTGTGTGGTCTGGTCAACTTACTTTAGCCACGTTATTGTGACTCATCGCCTGCATTTGCAAAGGCATTTGTTAGGTGTGACCATAGAGTGATAGCTCATAAAATGAGATCAACAGGAATAACGGGTAAAGTGGAGCATTGGAATTTCAACTTTTCTGTCAAACAGAATGCAAAGTGTAACAGTCAATCAAGTAAGATCAAGTCCAAATGCAGTGAAAAGCTCTTATGCGTCCTTGAACAAATTCACAAGAGCCGCCGTGACGAGGATTCGAACCTGCGTCCAAGAGCATCCCAGACGCTGCCTTAATCGACTGAGCTAAGGCAGTGTCTGGGATGCTCTTGGGCGCAGGGTCGAATCCTCGTCACAGCCCATGTGGATTTGTTCATTTGATGCATCACATTGTGATTTCTGTGTGTAACACAGTCCTTGCACCATTGCTCTGTACCCCAGGGCACAGCCTTGCACCACTGCTCTTTCTCATTCTTTTCTCAGATATAGACAAAACTACTAGTCACAACTTCGTATGTCATCCTTTGCAGATGATATAAAAATCAACATGAAAATTTCCTTTCAAGAAGACACTGAAATACTACAAGCTAATATTAATTAAGACTTCGATTGGGCAACGGAAAATAATATGGTAGAAATGAGAACCTTAAAACGAAATACAGGGTATAGGACACAGTCAGACTTACTCATAGAAGGAAAACAGCATGTAAAAGATCTGGGAATTACAATGTCTGACGACCTGACATTTAGTAATCATAACTGAGCAAATACAGCAGCGGCCAGGAAGATGATAAGATGGATTATGAGAATGTTCACATGCAGAGATCCCACAACAATGCTAATACTATTTAAATCACTGGTGGTGTCCTGTCTTGAGTACTGTTCAGTACTCATGTCCCCTTTCAGAGCAGGAGAGATCCTGAAATAGAGGGAATACAGAGACCCTATATGGCATGCACAGATGTGATGAAACACCTAAATTATTGAGATCGCAAAGCTCTCAAAATGTACTCTCTGAAAAGGAGACGAGAGAGGTATGATATAATATATGCATGGAAGATACTGGAGGGCCAGGTCCCAAATTTGGACAGTAGAATACCTGCTTGATGGGGTTCTGGGAGTTCTTTTACTCCCCAAGCCATACTGGAGCAAAAGGTACTGAAGGAAATGCAGAATAGAACTAGTGAAGAGTAGGTGCCATAGGCATCACCAGAGAACACTGTCTGAACATCAGGGGCGGTGTCCACTGCTGTTCAATACTCTCTCAGCAAGCATTAGAAATAGGGCCAGAACAAAGGTAAAATGTCTTCATGAAACATTTAGATCAGTTCTTGCAAGAAGTGTCAGACCAACTGGGTTGTAGTGGATATGTGGGCTTGTGGGCCGCTCCAAGCAATAAGTTATCACTTGTTGCTTGCTTCAATGGACCAAGTTATCACTTGTTGCTTGCTCCAATGGACCAAGTTATCACTTGTTGCTTGCTTCAATGGACCAAGTTATCACTTGTTGCTTGCACCAATGGACCAAGTTATCACTTGTTGCTTGCTCTACTGGACCAAGTTATCACTTGTTGCTTTCTCCACTGGACCAAGTTATCACTTGTTGCTTGCTCCACTGGACCAAGTTATCACTTGTTGCTTGCTCCACTGGACCAAGTTATCACTTGTTGCTTGCTCCAATGGACCAAGTTATCACTTGTTGCTTGCTCCACTGGACCAAGTTATCACTTGTTGCTTGCTCCAATGGACCAAGTTATCACTTGTTGCTTGCTCCAATGGACCATGTTATCACTTGTTGCTTGCTCCACTGGACCAAGTTATCACTTGGTGCTTGCTCCACTGGACCATGTTATCACTTGTTGCTTGCTCCAATGGACCAAGTTATCACTTGTTGCTTGCACCAATGGACCAAGTTATCACTTGTTGCTTGCTCCAATGGACCAAGTTATCACTTGTTGCTTGCTCCACTGGACCAAGTTATCACTTGTTGCTTGCTCCAATGGACCAAGTTATCACTTGTTGCTTGCTCCAATGGACCAAGTTATCACTTGTTGCTTGCTCCAATGGACCAAGTTATCACTTGTTGCTTGCTCCAATGGACCAAGTTATCACTTGTTGCTTGCTCCAATGGACCAAGTTATCACTTGTTGCTTGCTCTACTGGACCAAGTTATCACTTGTTGCTTACTCTACTGGACCAAGTTATCACTTGTTGCTTGCTCTACTGGACCAAGTTATCACTTGTTGCTTTCTCTACTGGACCAAGTTATCACTTGTTGCTTGCTCCAATGGACCAAGTTATCACTTGTTGCTTGCTCCAATGGACCAAGTTATCACTTGTTGCTTGCTCCAATGGACCAAGTTATCACTTGTTGCTTGCTCCAATGGACTAAGTTATCACTTGTTGCTTGCTCCAATGGACCAAGTTATCACTTGTTGCTTGCTCCAATGGACCAAGTTATCACTTGTTGCTTGCTCCAATGGACCAAGTTATCACTTGTTGCTTGCTTCAATGGACCAAGTTATCACTGGTTGCTTGCTCCAATGGACCAAGTTATCCAGGTGCAGGCGATGAGTCACAATAACGTGGCTGAAGTATGTTGACCAGACCACACACTAGAAGTTGAAGGGACGACGACGTTTCGGTCCGTCCTGGACCATTCTCAAGTCGATTGTGATAAGTTAAGTTTAGATAATCGACCTAGTTATCACTTGGTGCTTGCTCCACTGGACCAAGTTATCACTTGTTGCTTGCTCCAATGGACCAAGTTATCACTTGTTGCTTGCTCCAATGGACCAAGTTATCACTTGTTGCTTGCTCCAATGGACCAAGTTATCACTTGTTGCTTGCTCTACTGGACCAAGTTATCACTTGTTGCTTGCTCCAATGGACCAAGTTATCACTTGTTGCTTGCTCTACTGGACCAAGTTATCACTTGTTGCTTACTCTACTGGACCAAGTTATCACTTGTTGCTTGCTCTACTGGACCAAGTTATCACTTGTTGCTTACTCTACTGGACCAAGTTATCACTTGTTGCTTGCTCCAATGGACCAAGTTATCACTTGTTGCTTGCTCCAATGGACCAAGTTATCACTTGTTGCTTGCTCCAATGGACCAAGTTATCACTTGTTGCTTGCTCCAATGGACTAAGTTATCACTTGTTGCTTGCTCCAATGGACCAAGTTATCACTTGTTGCTTGCTCCAATGGACCAAGTTATCACTTGTTGCTTGCTCCAATGGACCAAGTTATCACTTGTTGCTTGCTTCAATGGACCAAGTTATCACTTGTTGCTTGCTCCAATGGACCAAGTTATCCAGGTGCAGGCGATGAGTCACAATAACGTGGCTGAAGTATGTTGACCAGACCACACACTAGAAGTTGAAGGGACGACGACGTTTCGGTCCGTCCTGGACCATTCTCAAGTCGATTGTGATAAGTTAAGTTTAGATAATCGACCTAGTTATCACTTGGTGCTTGCTCCACTGGACCATGTTATCACTTGTTGCTTGCTCCAATCGACCAAGTTATCACTTGTTGCTTGCTCCAATGGACCAAGTTATCACTTGTTGCTTGCTCCACTGGACCAAGTTATCACTTGTTGCTTGCTCCACTGGACCAAGTTATCACTTGTTGCTTGCTCTACTGGACCAAGTTATCACTTGTTGCTTGCTCTACTGGACCAAGTTATCACCAGTCGAGCCTGGCCTCAGGCCGGGCTCAGAGAGTACAACAACTTCCAAAAGCCTCTCCAGGCTATCAGGCACGTCAGTGAACACAGTCCAACCAACATGGCTGTGAAGGCCAACTGCAATGTGCCATATAAAACAAGAACCCAGCTTACCCCAACCATCCAAATGTTGCAGACGAGGAGTCACAATAACGTGGCTGAAATATGCTGACCAAACCACACACTAGAAAGTGAAGGGATGTTATCATGTTATCTTGAGGTTATCTTGAGATGATTTCGGGGTTTTAGTGTCCCCGTGGCCTGGTCCTCGACCAGGCCTCCACCCCCAGGAAGCAGCCCGTGACAGCTGACCAACACCCAGGTACCTATTTTACTGCTAGGTAACAGGGGCATAGGGTGAAAGAAACTCTACCCATTGTTTCTCGTCGGCGCCCGGGATCGAACCCGGGACTACAGAATCTCAAGTCCAGTGTGCTGTCCGCTCGGCCGACTGGCTCCCCTTCAGAGCCGATGACGATGGAGATGGAAATGATGACATTTCGGTCCATCCTGGACCATTCTCATGTCGTCCCTTCACTTTCTAGTGTGTGGTTTGGTCAACATCCAATTGTTCTCCCCAACCACGGGTCTAAACAGAGAGGCCACAAGACCCACGAACAACCTGAGGTAAGACACTCCACTCTGGCGACCAAGACTTGAAAGGGCAAACTCCTGAACACGCCAGAAAAGTACCCGTCGGTGCAGGGGCAGTGCCAGAGAGCACCCAGGGAAGGAACCTTGTACACATGTATCTCCCGATACAAAATGAGTCAAGCCCACACAACAAGCCAGTAGAAAAACGTGCAGAAGCAGCACAAACATTTTTACCAATAAACAAGCAAATGGCCCCCAAAGTCCAAGGATGGTCCAAGAATGACCCAACAAAGTCCAAGGATGGTCCAAGAATGGCCCAACAAAGTCCAAGGATGGCTGGCACTTAGCTTAGGAGCAGTGGGATGTGTGCAAGTGGCCACCAAGCCAAGAGCAGGAGCTGGGGCTCTGGGGCTCCCTCTCGTGGCAGAGGTTTGCTACTAATAATGTGTGCAAGTGGCCACCAAGCCAAGAGCAGGAGCTGGGGCTCTGGGGCTTCCTCTCGTGGCAGAGGTTTGCTACTAATAATGTGTGCAAGTGGCCACCAAGCCAAGAGCAGGAGCTGGGGCTCTGGGGCTTCCTCTCGTGACAGAGGTTTGCTACTAATAATGTGTGCAAGTGGCCACCAAGCCAAGAGCATGAGCTGGGGCTCTGGGGCTTCCTCTCGTGGCAGAGGTTTGCTACTAATAATGTGTGCAAGTGGCCACCAAGCCAAGAGCAGGAGCTGGGGCTCTGGGGCTTCCTCTCGTGGCAGAGGTTTGCTACTAATAATGTGTGCAAGTGGCCACCAAGCCAAGAGCAGGAGCAGAACACAGCAGTGTTCTGTGATGCTTATTTTGTCTTTCCATTGGGATGGAAGAATGTCACGTCACTCTCTGCCCCTCTGGTCCCCTGAAGGCCAAACACAACTCCATGACTGATGTGACCTAGTGGTTGGGAGCCATTTCAGCTAAATAACTTCACTAAGCCACAAGAAGCTTTCCCATAAAAACGCCACCCAAAACACGTCAAACATGGCGATCACTTCCCACAACTTAAGTGTCGTCGTATGGCAGAAACACTTCCAAGCCCCAGGAAAGGAGAGGATTGTCAGCAAGCCAGGGCAAATCTGGACCCTCATGGATCCGGATCATGGGAGCCGGTCGGCCGAGCGGACAGCACGCTGGACTTGTGATCCTGTGGTCCTGGTTTCGATCCCAGGTGCCAGCGAGAAACAATGGGCAGAGTTTCATTCACCCTATGCCCCTGTTACCTAGCAGTAAAATAGGTACCTGGGTGTTAGTCAGCTGTCACGGGCTGCTTCCTGGGGGTGGAGGCCTGGTCGAGGGGACCGGGCCGCGGGGACACTAAAAGCCCCGAAATCATCTCAAGATAACCTCAAGATCTCAAGATAACCTCATGCTAAAGACAAAAGGCAGAAGCAGACCTGAACTTGGAGGCCGGGTCCACAGGGGAACCGAGGTCATGCAGGAGAAACCAAGAAATGACTGCCTGCACTGTAGAAGGCACAAGGAGGAAGACGGAAACTCCACAGAACTAAACGGCACATGGAGTAATCAAGCTCGTACATTGAAGAGGGGATAGAAGTCCTCTCCCCAGAGCCAAATTCCCTCAAAATCCAGGAGCAGTTGAAGGGCACTCACAGACCCTCCTTGGGCTTTCCTCTAGCCCAGGACATCAGCCATGACTACTCCAGAGCAGAGCCGTGTTCCATACCCAATGCCTGAGACAAGAAGGGATCATCTCAAGGAGAAGGACTGGAGCAGGGTAACTGTTGTGAAAGCGAAGGCTTCGTATCCCCAGCAGAAAGGGACCACTCAACTGTCTCTGCCATTGAAACGAAACCCACAGACGAAACCAAAGGTGAGGCAACTAACACCTCCAAGTCCGGGTCCTTATAACCAAAGCGGGGCAGCTGCAATGCATCCAGAAAGGCAATCAACCTAGCGCGTTGCAGCAACCTAAACCTCATGCAATGCTGAAGCTGCCTGCATCCGAATATCAACATTAGTGGACTGGGTGAACTGTATTACAGTACATGCAAGGAACACCATTCGCAGGACTCCATGTCAAAGGTGTCATCGACCCAACAGGCAGCATGGCGGAGGCAAAAACGAAGAATGTCATCCTGAGACAATCTTGAGGTTATCTTGAGATGATTTCGGGGCTTTTTTTAGTGTCCCCGCGGCCCGGTCCTCGACCAGGCCTCCACCCCCAGGAAGCAGCCCATGACAGCTGACTAACTCCCAGGTACCTATTTACTGCTAGGTAACAGGGGCATTCAGGGTGAAAGAAACTTTGCCCATTTGTTTCTGCCTCGTGCGGGAATCGAACCCGCGCCACAGAATTACGAGTCCTACGCGCTATCCACCAGGCTACGAGACTCCTGGTAGGGGACAGAGCAACCTCCAAGCTTGCATGAAGTGAGATGGGACTCAGAGGAGGCATCCATTGGACCAATGAGCCCCAATGGGGGTTCTCAGGACCCTTAGGCTGACTGCTAATGGAAGCCCAGGCAAGGTACTGCTAACTGGTTACAGTATCGCAGAGCTAACAAACAAACAAAATGCTGAGCCCCTGCGACGTGTGCAATCACGGGGACCTAGCAGAGGGCCACCAAAATCATACAAGAGGTCCTACAGACACACCAGGCTGACCCCCACCAGGCAAAACAAAACAAAAGAAAAATAAACACCATGCAAAAGCCGGCCGCTATATGTATTATAAGACAGCTCCACAGTACCTTGCGCCCCTGCCAGCGACCATGCTACCTCCTACCGAAGGATAAACATGGGCAGGAAAAAACCCAGCTGATCCTAAGGGCAGGCAGTCACCAAGCAGCAAAAGAACCCTGCGGAGGTAGCCCCCGAACAATTTGTGGCAGGTAACCTGCAGAGGCAGTACTTACAGAGCACCTAGGGAAGGGAACTCTAGGCGCATGCAGCCCCAGCACTTCTTCAATTACACCTGTTAGGAAGTGATGTGGTGGAGGCTGACTCCATACACAGTTTCAAGTGTAGATATGACAGAGCCCGATAGGCTCAGGAATCTGTACACCTGTTGATTGACGGTTGAGAGGCGGGACCAAAGAGCCAGAGCTCAACCCCCGCAAACACAACTAGGTGAGTACAACTAGGTGAGTACCTGTCTCGTACACCACCATACTGCAGTACATCACAAGGCACGGCACTGCTCAAAGATTGGAACCAGAGTCGATCGACCGCCACTCAACACAACAGCCTCAGAACTGGGGTTGGGTAGCCGGTGTGAGAGGTCTGAGGAGCTGCGCAGACAGCAGCGCGGTGGCTGTGGTGACATCACATTTGCTTGTTTTCTGATTTAGGAGTTCTGCTTGCACCTTCGGCTTTCGGCTCACAATTCTTAACCAGCTGTAGTTTGTTTTGGGATTCCTATCTTTCTGGGTGCCTGACCTGGTAGATAGCAAATAGACTGCTTCCAACTACACGGGGGAATTGTCTATATGCCATTGCTCCTCGTGCCTCTCTGAAGGGGGGCCAGGTTCTGGCTCAGGTCTCCAGTAGGCTTAGAACTCCATCGATTGACTGTTGCCACGGTCTAATATATACACATCAGCCCAGTATAGCTCCAGGGAGCCAAAGAGGCTTTCCACAGAAAAGGCCTTCATGTCTTATGACCTTTAAAATTAATTTTCCTTCGACCATTTCAAATACAAACTAAGTATATTAATGTTGCTCTTATTGCAGGCGATAAGTCATAATAACGTGGCTGAAGTGTGTTGACCAGACCACACACTAGATGGTGAACGGACGACGACATTTCGGTCCGTCCTGAACCATTCTCAAGTCGATTGCGAGAATATTCTCACAATCGACTTGAGAATGGTCCAGGACAGATCATTGTAAGAATATTCTCACAATGTCGATTGTGAGAATATTCTCATAATCAACTGGAGGATGGTCCAGGATGGACCGAAACGTCGTCGTCCCTTCACCTTCTAGTGTGTGGTCTGGTCAACATGCTCTTATTGTCATGTGCAGAATTTACTCACCTTTTCACCATGCTTTCTCAAGGAATGCTTTAATCCGCCGCTTGCTCTTCTGTGTGAAGACTTGTGACTGCTTCCCAATTTTTGTGGACTTCCCATTTTGTGCAAATGCCCAATTTTATGTTGGGAACTAAATTTTCCGAAACCCATTTTCAATTCTGGCACACTTGTAATGGTGGCTTCCTCCTTAGGTATTACAGTCAATAAATCACTAGACATGTTTTCACCATCACAGGTAAACTTTTTTTCCGATACTACTTCTATCAGCGGCATTCTTGCTTTCTTTGACCTGCGGGAAAAAACAAAACTTTAACATAAAAGATTCTGGGGCCAGATTCACGAAAGCACTTACGCAAACACTTACGAACCTGAACATCTTTTTTCAATCTTTGACGGCTTTGTTTCCAATTATTAAACAGTTAATGAGTTCCGAAGAACCAGGAGGCTGTTTATAACAATAATAACAGTTGAATGGGAAGTTTTCATGCTTGTAAACTGTTTAATAAATGCAACCAAAGCCGTCAAAGATTGAGGAAAGATGTACACGTTCGTAAGTACTTGCGTAAGTGTTTTCGTGAATCTGGCCCCTGGACTATGGGTTTTTCATGTGAATGCATTTTTAGAGCAAGGCTGTTAATTAAAAGAAAGAGTTCATACACGAATGAATTAACTACAGTACTCCAAAATCATATATATATATATATTAGTTAAACCCAAAAGTCTGATGAAAGGAGTGTCCTCATCCATTCTCCAGTAACATATCAACTGAGAGACTTGCACACTCACTACATAAACTCCACGTCCACTACATCAGCATTATCTCTCTCTACTGTACATACATCAATGAGATATTCTCATTGATACATCACACATTTCTGTGATTTCTTTGGACACCTCTGTATCTTCCACACAATATATTTTTCTGCTACATAGCTTAAACTATCTCAACTATAAAATCACCCTTTCCAATACATAAACTCTATCTTGACTGTTGACCAAACAACATGCTAGAAATTGAAGAGACGACGACGTTTCGGTCCGTCCTGGACTATTATCAAGTCGACTGTCTTGATAATCGACTTGATATTGATCCAGGACGGACCAAAACATCGTCGTCTCTTCAATTTCTAGTGTGTGATTTGGTCAACATTTTTCAGCCATGTTATTGTGACTAATCATCTGTCTATCTTCACTGTTTCCTACCTGTGGATATTACGGAGGTCCTTTTGTCATTACACAAAAATCATTTGTGTCTGCCTTAATCATTTTGTCGATTAAGGCAGTGTCTGGGATGCTCCCGGACGCAGGTTCGAATCCTCGTCACGGCCCTTGTGGATTTGTTCCTTTTGTCATCATATGCTGAACTGAGCCTTCGCTGCCCTTCTGTCTCCTATGATGAGCTGGTCTCTATATTTGTGTGTGGGGGTCATGAATATAGAGCCTAGGCTACCCTGGTGTCTCCTACCATGAACTGGTCTCTATATTTGTGTGTGGGGGTCATGAATATAGAGCCTAGGCTACCCCTTGTGTCTTATACCAAGAGCATGTCTCTATATTTGTGTGTGGGGTCATGAATATAGAGCCTAGGCTACCCTTGTGTCTCATACCAAGATCTTGTCTCTATATTTGTGTGTGGGGTCATGAATATAGAGCCCACACTGTTCTTCACTCTTATTAATGCTGGGGCTGGATTTATCAAACAGTTATGCAAGTACTAAAGAATCTGTTTATCTCTATCTTGGCAGCATTGTTTACATTTATTAAACAGTTTGTTTACGCTCCAAAGCACTAGGTGGTTGTTTATGACAAAATAATATTCGACAGGAAAATTTCAATGCTCGTAAAATGTTTAATAAATGTAAACGAAGCCACCAAAGACTGAGAAAAGATGTACAGGTACGTAAGTAGACTCCTAAACGCTTGGTGGGACTTTAAGTTCCATCCTGGTGTTCTTCAGAGCTTGGTTCTTCTGCCCTTAGGCCTATGTTTTAGCCTGGACATCTGTTTTCTTTTGGGGGTCAGTTCTTCCTCAGTTTGGACAGCCACCTCTTTCTAAGGTACTATCATGAGATAGCACCGGGAAGCTACTGAAGGGAGTCCTCCCACAAATCTAGCTATGAAGGGGCCTCGTAGCCTGGTGGATAGCGCGCAGGACTCGTAATTCTGTGGCGTGGGTTCGATTCCCGCACGAGGCAGAAACAAATAGGCAAAGTTTCTTTCACCCTAAATGCCCCTGTTACCTAGCAGTAAATAGGTACCTGGGAGTTAGTCAGCTGTCACGGGCTGCTTCCTGGGGGTGGAGGCCTGGTCGAGGACCGGGCCGCGGGGACACTAAAGCCCCGAAATCATCTCAAGATAACCTCAAGATGAATGCAATAAAATGCAGATGAGGAGTCACAATAACGTGACCGAAAAATGTTGACCAAACCACAGACTAATAAGTGAAGAGACGACGACGTTTCGGTTCGCCCTGGACCATTATCAAGTCGATTGTGTGAATCGACTCGATAAATGTCCAGAATGGACCGAAACGTCGTCGTCTCTTCACTTTCTAGTGTGTGTGGTTTGGTCAACAATGCAGTCTCCGTGGTGTAGTGGTAAGACACTCGCCTGGCGTTCCGCGAGCGCTATGTCATGGGTTCGTATCCTGGCCGGGGAGGATTTACTGGGCGCAATTCCTTAACTGTAGCCTCTGTTTAACGCAACAGTAAAATGTGTACTTGGATGAAAAAACGATTCTTCGCGGCAGGGGATCGTATTCCAGGGACCATAGGATTAAGGACTTGCCCGAAACGCTACGCGTACTAGTGGCTGTACAAGAATGTATGTATGTAACAATGCAATAAAATTGCCTCTTTATGGTGGGGCCTCTGTAGTTCCCTGTAATGTTCCCTCCATTCCTGTTGGAGTTTGTGGGTGGTTAGAGACTAGGGTCACCTGCACTGCCATCTGGTGGCCAACAAGTGTTACTAGGCAAGGCAGGGAGCCAGTCGGCCGAGCGGGCAGCACGCTGGACTACACTCTTAGAATCAAGGTTACAAAATGATCCAAGCAGTCACTCATTTTCGGTGCACAGTTGCTCATTTTCAGTGCACAGTTGCTCATTTTTGGTGCACAGTTGCTTTTTTTTTTTTTTTGGGGGTGGGGGGGGGGGGGGGGGGTGTTCTCTGATCCCCAGGATTACTAAGGGCTCTTTGAGTATGTCAGATTCTGATCTTGGTTACCCAGTAGGTGCTCATGGGTCGCTTGAGACCTAGTCTAGAGGCCTAGTCTCGAGGCCTAGTCTAGAGGCCTAGTCTATAGGCCTAGTGTCTTCCCCAAGATTTGGAGATTTCCAGATTGTAGCACTGGGGAGCTACTGAGTGGGGCCTCCCACACACACACATTAGTTTGATATATTTCTATACGTGAATATCAATGACTTTTGAAATAAATATGAAATGCAGTTACTAATCCCATATGCAAACCGTAAACAATAATCATTTGAACTTTGCTTTGGAGGTCAAAGTGCAAAACTACATATCTTCAATAAATTTAAATTGCAAAAATTTGATGGCAGGTTGTGAAACAGTACTTACAGTTCATATACAAATTATTTGTATGAAAAATAGACTGCTAGATAACAGGAAAAACAAAAATTGCTCCATAAAATAAAGCTTACCTCATTATTGACCAGACCACACACTAGAATGTGAAGGGACGACGACGTTTCGACTCGAGAATGGTCCAGGACGGACCGAAACGTCGTCGTCCCTTCACATTCTAGTGTGTAGTCTGGTCAACATACTTTAGCCACGTTATTGTGACTCATCGCCTGCTTACCTCATTATTGACCAGACCACACACTAGAATGTGAAGGGACGACGACGTTTCGACTTGAGAATGGTCCAGGACGGACCGAAATGTCGTCGTCCCTTCACATTCTAGTGTGTGGTCTGGTCAACATACTTTAGCCACGTTATTGTGACTCATCGCCTGCTTACCTCATTATTCTATGGTTCATTGTCTCGGGAATGTAACGAATGACGTGGTCACTGAAGGTATATACAGATGACGTATTTGACGTAAAAATAAGATTTGTTAACGCTTCACTTGACGCTGCACACGGTGGGCACAACGCACAGTCTACTAGAAGTTGATCTTTACTTGCTGGAATTCTTCGGCAACGTGGATGTTTTACTCGTTCAGTCCAAGTGTTGCGCAAATAACGGATGTTAGCATACTGAAGAGCAGCCAGCAGCAGCAACCATCTGGGGGTAAGTAAATAATTAGCTTTCTTTGTATAAAAATAAATAAATAAACTCTTGGGCACCACCAGGATTCGAACCTGGATAACAAGGAGTCACCTTACTGGCTACCCAATACTAACACAACTCCACCATCGATGACTTTAAGTGGCGGATACTCCTGGAGCTCACAAGCTTCCACAACCATCACCTACTTGGCAACACTTGTGTTGCATCTCTGTTACAGTTTTCCATCAAATCCTAGCACATGCTGCGACGACAGCATGTGATGTAAAGCTGTACCCACTCAGCAACGTGAGTGTTGTGGAGCTCATGTGGAAGCATGAGAGCTCCACGACCATCCACCACATACAGGCAATCAATAGCGGAGTGGTCTTAGTACTGGGTAGCCAGTGGGGTGACCACTGGTCATCCACATTCGAATTCTGGTGGGGCCAAAGAGTTTACAGTGACTTATAACAGAAACTCGGGAGTCAACTATCACACAAGCACTGTTTTCAAAGGGATGAAATTCCTGCTTTGTGAGAGTCACAAAATGAAAAACAGCATTGAAAATGAAATAAGTTTATTAAGGTATAAATACACACAAAGGGATGACGTAGCTCAAGCTAATCTCACCCCGTTCAGTACAAGCACTATAAGCATATTACCGAACATTCCGAGTGATAAACATATATATATTTCTTAAAACCAGCATCGAGTATAATGAAAGGCCAGTTTCTCATTGAGCTTCAGAGGCTCCCTGAAACTACCACACACAGAACAGTGCCATTCTACTTAGTGCCATCAGTCGCAGAATTCTATTTGCCTACCAGAGACCGTGAGCCAGAATCTGGTCCTCTCACAGAGGAGCAGGGAGCGATGGCCTACGATCACTTTACATTTAAAGGTTATCATCTTTGCCACCACCTAGGGACGCCACCAAGAAAGGCGATCAAAACCGACCACTGCATAGATAAAAATGAGACCTCAGTCCCAAAACTGCCAAAGAAACTGCCCATTAACCAAAACAAACAACCAAAATTTTGTATAATTTGCCCCCCCCCCTATGGGAGCCGGTCGGCCGAGCGGACAGCACACTGGACTTGTAATCCTGTGGTCCTGGGTTCGATTCCAGGTGCCGGCGAGAAACAATGGGCAGAGTTTCTATCACCCTATGCCCCTGTTACCTAGCAGTAAAATAGGTACCTGGGTGTTAGTCAGCTGTCACGGGCTGCTTCCTGGGGGTGGAGGCCTGGTCGAGGACCGGGCCGCGGGGACACTAAAGCCCCGAAATCATCTCAAGATAACCTCAAGACAACGTCCCCACACTATTTAGCTCCACCTCCCTCCTCAGTTCTAGAATGATAAAACATGCCGACAACTTGAGGGAAGAGAGGGTGTCAGGGAGCCTCTAGGGCTCACCCAGAAACCAGCGTCTCATTACATTCAACGCTGGTTTTCTGTGGGGAGCTCCGTCAGCACCCTGAAGCAAACTACCCACAGAGAAGGACAAAAAGGGGCACTAATCAAGTAGGCAGCATCACCGCAAGTATCACGTTGCAGGAATGACTGACAGCCACGACACACGATCCAGAGCTACACAAGACCGCAGAGGACCAGGGACAGGAACAAGATACCTGGCAGCCAAGATGCTGTTCAACTGCTTAAACACCCGCACATGAATATCAGCCCAAGACATATCAGCAAACACGGCCGTCAAAGCGTGTATGGCCAGACATCATGAGCACGAGGGTAGACCACAAGCTGGCTAGCGTTAAGGACACTGAGGACAACCTGAGGAATAAAAGTCCTGGAACAAGAAACCAGGGGAAACCGGATCAACCCACGAGGAGTCCACCAAAACAGAACCAGTGGCCCGAAGGTAGCAGTGCAAAGCCTTGCTGGATAAGGTGCACGATGCACCCCCCAGCCTATTTTCCTCAGGAATTTCTCATCACCATCTATTTTTTCTCTCACTCACCATTTTCCCCTCTCACTATCTCTGCCTTCTGTCACTCACTGTCGTACCTCTCACTATCACTTGTTTCTCTCATCTTATCCTTTAGTATCTCTCACTTACCCTTTCACCTCTTGCTCATTTCTCTTTTAAACTGTTTACCTCTCACTCTCTATATCTCTCATTCTCCTTCACTTTTCAAGTGCTCACTCACTTTCTCTTCAAATACCTGTATATATTCTGAATAAAGAAGTTATCTTCATTTTCATTTTAATGTTAAATGCTTTTGATAGTTAAAGATTATGGGTGTGAACATACCTTGAAAGCAATCCTCCTAAAACCGCACTGGACATTTCGTGTACACTGAGGTTAACGAATCGTAAAAATGAGAAACATCTTCCGGTTTCTCTCTCTGAAATAATGCAAGAGTAACCACCTGTATTGTTCAGCATACCTCGACAATTAAAATAATAATATAAAACCTACAAAGTGTTTGACATATTCATGCAATATTTTCATGTGAATATACACAATATAATTATACAGTAAAACCAGTTGTAGATATATATATACTGTATATAATTAGACTGCCGCATATGATTCAATATGGCTTGAAGAATTATTACAAATGATTTACATCATTTCAAAACTAGAATAAAACTACTGCAAGACATAAATATCTACGCTAGAGACTAGCTAATATATCACTACTACTACTCACCTTCCTTTAAACTAGAATGTATATAGTCAGGGTGGAAGATTGAAAAGCGATTGTATAATAGGTGATGCCTGCTTGGGGGGGCATCGAGGAGGAATGCTTCACGGAAGACTAGCTTCGGGATGATATAAGACTCTGGATGCATTGTGAATGGCGATCGCACCTCCCGCCGTTCCAGCAGTTCCGGGTGATTACATACCTAGTTGGAGTATATTGTTATTTATGTACTTTTAGTCTTAAGTGTCCAAATACTGTATATCCACATAACACAACATAGGATAATATTTTCAACAGTCTTACTTCATATAACTTATTTTATATTATTATTTATAACCATTTAAAAACTTAACTAAACATGTTTTGATTATAGTTGATCAACTGAGGTATCCCAGGCTGGTATGTCTCTCAATATTATTTCAGTCCTGACTAATGAATTGGTTGAACAAATCCACAAGGGACTTGATGAGGGTTTGAACCTACGCACAGAATGTCTCAATAATATTCCAGCAACATTATAATATTTCTGTGTGCCTCTGGGCCAGTTAGGCTCGTTCTTCCAGAGGTTTTTGCTTGCTTTCGGGTCCATCCTTCGGCAGCTCAAAAGCTCTTTTCGTGTACCGCCTTCAAGACCCAGATTATGGGGAGGCCTGACAGCTGAGTGGACAGCGCTTCGGATTCGTAGTCCTGAGAGTTCGATTCCTGGTGGAGGCGGAGACAAATGGGCAAAATGTTTCTTTCTCCCTAATGCCCCCTGTTACCTATCAGTAAATAGGTACCTGGGAGTTAGACAGCTGCTACGGGTTGCTTCCTGGGGGTAGGGGGTGTGTAACAAAAAGAAGGCCTGGTCGAGGACCGAGCCGCGGGGACTCTAGGCCCCAAAATCATCTCAAGATAACCTCAAGATATACAGAGAGTGGGGCAGGGCAGGGGTTAGGAAGCAGGGACAGAGTTCACAGGCCTGTGGGAATGTTCATCATCATATAATTCATGTAAATAGAAAATGATCATCATGTATTATGATCGGTTGCAGCTCTCCACCGTTACTTGCATGCCACGGCCTCGGCACGGCAAGGGCGCAGGTCTCCCAGGTCATTCGCAGGGTTATTCGGCCCAGCCAGCCTGCGGTCGATCCAAATGCCCACGACGTTCATAAGTTCGCGGCTTTGGTCACGAACTTAGGCAGCCCATGATTCTGGCTCCCCTCAGAGAGGGGAGCCAGAACCTCCTCTCTGAGGTGGGCCAGGTTCTGGCTCGTGGTCCCCGGTAGGCTAGAACTCCATTGAACTGACTGATGCCATGGTCTAATACATACATAATTTAGGGGCCTCGTAGCCTGGTGGATAGCGCGCAGGACTCGTAATTCTGTGGCGCGGGTTCGATTCCCGCACGAGGCAGAAACAAATGGGCAAAGTTTCTTTCACCCTGAATGCCCCTGTTACCTAGCAGTAAATAGGTACCTGGGAGTTAGTCAGCTGTCACGGGCTGCTTCCTGGGGGTGGAGGCCTGGTCGAGGACCGGGCCGCGGGGACACTAAAGCCCCGAAATCATCCCAAGATAACATCCCAAGATAACATAGCAGCCCGGTAAGCTCCGGGAAGCCCGAAGGCTCTCCACAGGAAAAATGCATCTCAAATGCTTCACGAAGGTCCTGTATCTTTGGTTATAGTAAATCCCTCATTCCAATAAACTGGGGTTGGTCCCCATATAGTTTACCATATTGAGGTTGCACTCTCCTAAATACTAATATCCAACTAGTGTACAGTACAGAGGTACTGATAAGACTAACAAACCATTTAACATCCTGAGCCCAGTAGGCTCAGGAATCCATACACCATTTTTTTTTTTTTTTTTTTTTGCAGGGATATTCCTGCGCGGGCCCTAAGCCTCTGGCTGGCCCACTAAGTGTTGCTTATTTCTGTTTTACTTGGGCAGAGTATGAGTATTTATTACTCGTATGGTCGCTTCAGTAAGATTTTGCCATATGTGTTTAACAACTTCTTCTGCTCTGTTGAATCTAAGTTGAAATCTTAATGGGTTTGTAACTGTGCACTGTGTTAGATAATATTCCAGTGGTCTGTCGGGCATTTCTCCACAGTGTTGACATTTCCTCTCACCTTCCGGAACCCGTAAGCCTATTTCCCATGCACATGGGTATCCAAGCCTTTTGCGATGTAAGTGTACTTCTGTTGCTCTACTGCTCCCTTTCATCAAACTAAGTGGTTCGTAGTTGGTTGAATTCTTGTACCAACCCGCAGATCCTGATGTTGCAACTGCTGTGTTGTGGTCACTGTACATCACCTGCATTGCTCTGTTTCTAATTACTTTCTTAATCTGTGATAGACTCTGTGGTATGTAAATGTCTACATTTCTTCATACACCAGCTGATTGACAGTTGAGAGGTGGGACCAAAGAGCCACAGCTCAAACCCCGGCAAGCACAACTAAGTGAGTACATACCTTCCTGAACTGCATAACAAGATTCATGAGTGACGACGTTACAGACGACTGCTGGGAAGAGGGACCCATTGATGACCTCAACAACTCATCAATACTAATCTTATTTTTCAGACCACTATACAAAAACTTTTGACGAAGTGTGAGGGGACAGTACATCATAATCTGTTGAATAAAGTCACAATGATTACCACAAGCATGATACTTTGCTTATCTTTCAAATACAAATAAATTGATCCTCTTCATTCAGATGAACAAAGCTATGAATCGTCAAGGCAGGCGAGGAGTCACAATACCGTGGCTGAAGTATGTTCACCAGACCACACACTAGAAGGTGGAGGGACGACGACGTTTCGGTCCGTCCTGGACCATTCTCACAATCGACTTGAGAATGGTCCAGGACGGACCGAAACGTCGTCGTCCCTTCACCTTCTAGTGTGTGGTCCGGTCAACATCAATATGAATCGTCAAGTTAAAAATCTTGGAAAATTATTATTTACCAAACTTCTACTTGTTAGATAACTAGCTATTGGGCACAAGCCATACAGATATGAAGAAAAGATTCAATATGAAGCAATGTATGACAATAAATATATATGACTCGGTTTCAAATGCTTCATTATATTTCATCGTAATTTCTATCAAGCTCAAATATATCTTACCTCAATCTTATCCGTAAGTTCATTCTCAACTTCTGTCTTCACTCGCCTCAACATGAATGGTTTCAAGATCATATGTAGTCGATTTAAGTGTTCTGAAAAGTCAACATTATAAAGGATTTATAGTTATCATACTTTAATATAATGTATGCGCAGAGATGGATGGGCTTACAATTCAGTAGTGTGGATATATATAGGCCTTTATACTGTATAAGCATTCCTGCCTATATATCCACACCCCTGAATTCTAAATCAATCCATCTGAGGATGGATTATTAAATACGAGAGTACCTAAGGAAACTCGTCTTAATCCTTCCTTCGTGGTTTGACACCGAAATAAACAAATAAATTCGGCAAACTAGAGAGTCAAGAATGAGACTAAAAAGTATCCAAAATCAATAGTATTCAGAGAAGACCTTGTCATGTGGTTAAATTAAATACTGCTGTATTATTAGAGGAGTTTAAAGACATTTTCAACCAAAAGGCACGTCTGTGTTTACTAGTTGTGTTTTTGCGGGGGTTGAGCTTTGCTCTTTCGGCCCGCCTCTCAACTGTCAATCAACTGTTTACTTTTTTTCCACACCACACACACACACCCCAGGAAGCAGCCCGTGACAGCTGACTAACTCCCAGGTACCTATTTACTGCTAGGTAACAGGGGTACTTAGAGTGAAAGAAACTTTTGCCCATTTGTTTCTGCCTCGTGCGGGAATCGAACCCGCGCCACAGAATTACGAGTCCTGCGCGCTATCCACCAGGCTACGAGGCCTCTGTGACGTATGCTACATGATAATCGTATGACGCAAAATCAAAACTATTATTCCCTGTCATCAACACTGAAAAGCTCTGTATTGAAATAGCCTTCTAAACACAGGATAATCTTACGGGAATCTGTACAGTGAGTTGACCAGACCACACACTAGAAGGTGAAGGGACGACGACGTTTCGGTCCGTCCTGGACCATTCTCAAGTCGATTCGACTTGAGAATAGTCCAGGACGGACCGAAATGTAGTCGTCCCTTCACCTTCTAGTGTGTGGTTTGGTCAACTTACTTTAGCCACGTTATTGTGACTCATCGCCTGCATCTGTACAGTGAATTTTGAATCTGAATACGGTGAAAAAATTACAGTGCCTTACGGAATCTGTACACCAGTTGATTGACAGTTGAGAGGCGGGACCAAAGAGCCAAAGCTCAACCCCTGCAAGCATAACTAGGTGAGTACAGGTAAAAGTACCATACTATTATATTCTGCGGTGAAGAATATACTTACTTTCATCTACATGCGTCTTATTCTCTACGTGTCCCTCAATATCCTTGCTGAACCACTCGTTGAACCACAGGTGCGAGTCGAAGAGCGTGGGCATGATAAAATGCAACAGAGCCCAAAGTTCAGCCATGCTGTTTTGAATGGGTGTTCCCGACAACAGTAAGCGGTTTCGACAGCTGAACCCCAGTAGCAGCTTCCATCTCTGGCTGTTGAATAAACAACGATTATCTTATCAGTAAAAAATTCTGAATCACTATCCACATTCATCATTATGTATTCACTAATATTACAATTAACCACTGCACTGAGCAAAGCACCTAAAGGCGCTCTGAGGGTTGTGTTTTTTTTTAATTAGGCCATATTTTTAGTTTTTTTAACATTTTCATTGCTCTTTGTGATTTGAAATGAAAATGATTGAGTTTGGAAACATTTTGACATTAACATTAGCTGAACATTTATAAAGACAACAAAAATGTCCTTAACAACTGCATCTTGAAATTTTTGCCAAAAACAGGTACGCAGTGCAGGGGTTAAGCATTGAATGTAATAAGGAATCCTTTACTGGTGGGCCTTCAGTAGCTTCTCTTAGCCTATGTGCTGTGTTCCAAGACTTAACGTTGGAACATACATCTTATGCATAATATTGGGAGGTTGTGGTTTCATGCTTTGTTGGATTATCTTAGTTTGTCCGCAAAACTTTTTGTGTTGGCTCTTTGCTGAAAGATTTAGTTCGACATCTTGCTAATTCCTGTTGTTGCTTGCTCACTTAACCGTTGACCAGACCACATACTAGACGGTGAAGGGACGACGACGTTTCGGTCCGTCCTGGACCATTCTCAAGTCGAATCGACTTGAGAATGGTCCAGGACGGACCGAAACGTCGTCGTCCCTTCACCTTCTAGTGTGTGGTCTGGTCAACATTCTTCAGCCACGTTATTGTGACTCATCGCCTGCATATGAATTCCTTAACCGTTTCTAATATTTCTTTCTCCCTGGCAGCTTGTGTATGGGATAGCTGCACTTTCCTAAATCCTGTGTAACTTCCTCCCTCTTTTCTGATAAAAGCTCTTTGTCCTGTTGAATTTCCTTGCCTTCAAGAAAAAATTAGATGCGTTCCTACAAGACATGCCAGACCAACCATATTGTAGTGGATATGTGAGCATGTGAACTGCTCCAAGCAACAGTCTGTTGGACCAAGTTATGACGGGTCAAATCCTGCCCCCATGGCAGGCTTGGAGAGAACTTCATCATCCAGGAGATTAGAACTCCCAGAACCCACTCCAGGTATAGTTCAGATAGATATACAGCATGATGAACAACTTTCTTACAAGTCTGTGAACTCTGGCCGTGCTATGTAAGCAAACATGCACATCCCCTATAATGAACACTTGTTCGGTGAAGCAATGACTAAATCTGGCCTGGATAGTTACAACTGCCCTGGAAACACAAACCGAAACTGTCTATTTTCCGCGTGTTACAACTTGTAATAAAGTTGTTACATCTTGGCTTAACGTGTTTATGCCGTATTAGAACGTTGTTACAACTTGCTATATTGGTTGTTATAACTGGTTAGGAAGTGTTAAAACTTGTTCGAACGTTGTATCAACATCGTAGTTTCGGTGTGCGTTTGGCGGGTGAAGATTCGCCAAAATGAAGTTTGCCAAATCAAGGTTGCATTCGTAGAAGCAAAAAGTGTTCACCACAATCGCCTTTCGATCAGGAAAGAGGGACAACATGACGAGGCAATCAATGGCTTCATGTTATGGCAGAGAAATCCACTGCAGGACGACCAAACGTGTCCTATATCCAATCTTGAGGTTATCTTGAGATGATTTCGGGGCTTTAGTGTCCCCGCGGCCCGGTCCTCGACCAGGCCTCCACCCCCAGGAAGCAGCCCGTGACAGCTAACACCCAGGTACCTATTTTACTGCTAGGTAACAGGGGCATAGGGTGAAAGAAACTCTGCCCATTGTTTCTCGCCAGCACCTGGGATCGAACCCAGGACCACAGGATCACAAGTCCAGCGTGCTGTCAGCTCGGCCGACCGGCTCCCTTCAATGGAAAGAAGCCATATCTATTTTTCAATCTGTTGAAATTGAGTGGAAATGGGAGAGAGACTATGAAAACACTTCAGAGCCCTACAATGCGCATTGCATTGTGGACTACCTTGAGATGATGCAGTTACCTTGAGATGATTTCGGGTCTTAGCGTCCCCATGGCCCGGTCGTCGACAAAGGCCTCCTATGTTCTGAGAAATCTGAAACAAGTTTATCCACAGTGCCCATACCCCCCCTTCCCCATCCCCCTCATACAGGCTTGACAGTTGAGTGGCAGCACTTGAGATTCGTAGTGCTAAGGTTCCGGGTTCGATCCCCGGTGGAGGCGGAAACAAATGGGGCAGAGTTTCTTTCACCCTGATGCCCCTGTTACCTAGCAGTAAATAGGTACCTGGGAGTTAGACAGCTGCTACGGGCTGCTGCTTCCTGGGGATGTGTAATAACAAGGAGGCCTGGTCAAGGACCGGGCCGCGGGGACGCTAAGCCCTGAAATCACCTCACGATAACCTTAAGATAACCTACCCCCTTCCTACAGAGGGATATTGCAATACCGTCTGTTAAGGTTTTAAAATACCGAGTTATATCCATTCTATAAAATACCAGTACCGTACCTGTTAATGCTTTTGATGGCTTGGGCCTCATCAAGAACCATGTAGTTCCACTTTAAACGGTTCAAAAACTTGAAGTCTTGAATAACAATCTGGTAACTTGTTACAACTATATGGAAACTTGCCTCCCTCGTCCCTAGATTTTTGCCATCAAAAAACTTGCGAAGATTTTTACGTTCTTCGGGATTACCCCAATATGGCACCACCTGGAAAAGAAGAGAGAATTGGAATTATTTTATATTATATAAAAAAAAATAGTTTTTTTATTTATATATACAAGAGTTCTTACATTCTTGTACAGCCACTAGTACGCGTAGTGTTTCGGGCAAGTCCTTAATCCTACGTTCCCCAAAATACGACCCCTGCGAAGAATCGTTTAACAACCAGGTACCCATTTTACTGTTGGGTTAAACAGAGGCTACAATTAAGGATTTGCACCCAGTAAATCCTCCCCGGCCAGGATACGAACCCAGGACAAAGCGCTCGCAGAACGCCAGGCGAGTGTCTTACCACTACGCCATGGAGACTGTAGGTGTTATATAAAACTGCACTCCAGACTAAATGTGTATCTTGTAAGATACAGGATACGCACCCAGGACAAAGCACTCGCGGAACGCCAGGCGAGTCTTACCACTACACCATGGAGACTGTAGGTGTTATATAAAACTGCACTCCAAACTAAATGTGTATCTTGTAAGATACAACATAGCTCTCAGGAGCAGGCGATGAGTCACAATAACGTGGCTGAAGAATGTTGACCAGACCACACACTAGAAGGTGAGGGGACGACGACGTTTCGGTCCGTCCTGGACCATTCTCAAGTCGATTGAGAATGGTCCAGGGCAGACCGAAACGTCGTCGTCCCTTCACCTTTTATGTGTGTGGTCTGGTCAACATAGTTCTCAGGATAGACCCTCAGCACTAGTTTGCTAGATACACACACAAACCACAATAGCGTGATATATCAAATGAACCAATCCACAAGGGTGGTGGGGAGCCGGTCGGCCGAGCGGACAGCACACTGGACTTGTGATCCTGTGGTCCCGGGGTCGATTCCGGGCGCCGGCGAGAAACAATGGGCAGAGTTTCTTTCACCCTATGCCCCTGTTACCTAGCAGTAAAATAGGTACCTGGGTGTTAGTCAGCTGTCACGGGCTGCTTCCTGGGGGTGGAGGCCTGGTCGAGGACCGGGCCGCGGGGACACTAAAGCCCCGAAATCATCTCAAGATAACCTCAAGATGAGGGTTCGAACTTACGCACGGGATGATCGTCTGGGATAAACCAGGGCGTAAGTGCGAACCCTCATCACGGTCCTTGTGGATTTGTTAGTTTACAAGAGCTTGCTGCACTTCCACTCAATCATGCAAAAGTAGTTTGCAAGAGCTTGCTGCACTTCCACTCAATCACGCAAAAGTAGTTTGCAAGAGCTTGCTGCACTTCCACTCAATCATGCAAAAGTAGTTTGCAAGAGCTTGCTGCACTTTCACTCAATCACGCAAAAGTAGTTTGCAAGAGCTTGCTGCACTTCCACTCAATCATGCAAAAGTAGTTTGCAAGAGCTTGCTGCACTTCCACTCAATCACGCAAAAGTAGTTTGCAAGAGCTTGCTGCACTTCCACTCAATCACGCAAAAGTAGTTTGCAAGAGCTTGCTGCACTTCCACTCAATCACGCAAAAGTAGTTTGCAAGAGCTTGCTGCACTTTCACTCAATCACGCAAAAGTAGTTTGCAAGAGCTTGCTGCACTTCCACTCAATCACGCAAAAGTAGTTTGCAAGAGCTTGCTGCACTTTCACTCAATCATGCAAAAGTAGTTTGCAAGAGCTTGCTGCACTTCCACTCAATCACGCAAAAGTAGTTTGCAAGAGCTTGCTGCACTTCCACTCAATCACGCAAAAGTAGTTTGCAAGAGCTTGCTGCACTTTCACTCAATCATGCAAAAGTAGTTTGCAAGAGCTTGCTGCACTTCCACTCAATCATGCAAAAGTAGTTTGCAAGAGCTTGCTGCACTTCCACTCAATCATGCAAAAGCTTTATTCATAAATGGTTGTACATTTATGACTGGGAAAGTTGACAAAAACACACAGTAGAGTACATTAATTACATAAGATTCACAACAAGAGCGCAGCACGTAGACATTGTCATTACTAGAATCACAAACTTAATCCATAACAACCTTACAATACTGGCTGGACTAAACACTGTCTAGTAGTAGGCATCCATCAGTGTCAGGAGACTATGGAGTTGCGCTCTGGTTGTCGGTCTGGAGTGGCCTCACCAGGCAACCCGTTCTCGCAAATTTAATAAGTCAATATTGACTTATTAGTTGCGTGCATAGGTGACATACTAAACATAATAGTTTCCCCTGAAAAGCTTCATAGAAAACACCGACCTTACCTAACCTACTTAGTATGTTAAAATAAGCATCTTATAGCTTCGTAATTACAATTGTTACTTAACCTATTATAAGTATAGGTTAGGTAATAATTGTAATTACGAAGCAATAAGATGCTTATCTTAACATACTAAGTAGGTTAGGTAAGGTCGGTGTTTTCTATGAAGCTTTTCAAGGGAAACTATTATGTTAAGTATGTCACCTATGCACATATTTAATAAGTCAATATTGACTTATTAAATTTGCGAGAACGGGTTGCACCAGGGCACAAAGCCAGGGTAGGTTGATTCGGGGGAGAACCTGTTACCCAGGCAGCAGGTCCCCCCCCTTTCCACGACGCTGAAAGTCTCCAATGGAAAGGCACACGCCAATACGATTGGTTCCAGCGCCGTTGCAGGAACTGTGAGTTCCGGGGTTGACCTCGAAGGCGGTGAAGAAGGGCACAGGGACCTCCAACCCCGGAGACCGCCGTGGTCGGGGTCACTGTCTAGCCAATACTGATTGACATTGTATAACAATCTAAATTAAACTAACATTTTAGGCCTAGAGTGAGCAACATTTAGCTAATAATTTGAAAGATGATGTATTGTAAAGACAAAGTGAGGTTTAAATTACAGTGGTAAGATATACATTGACACAATTTATGTTAAAAAACAAGGGTTGAATGTAATGAAATGCCAATTTCTGGGTGAGCCCCTGGTGACTCCCTGATGCTTCAGGGAACCACCAGGGGCTCCCCAATGCTTCAGGGAGTCACCAGGGGCTCCCTGATGCTACAGGGAGTCACCAGGGGCTCCCTGATGTTCCAGGGAGCCACCAGGGGCTCCCCGATGCTACAGGGAACCACTAGGGGCTCCCTGATGTTTCAGGGAGCCACCAGGGGCTCCCTGATGCTACAGGAAGCCACCAGGGGCTCCCCGATGCTACAGGGAACCACCAGGGGCTCCCCGATGTTACAGGGAACCACCAGGGGCTCCCCAATGCTTCAGGGAGTCACCAGGGGCTCCCTGATGCTACAGGGAGTCACCAGGGGCTCCCTGATGTTTCAGGGAGCCACCAGGGGCTCCCTGATGTTTCAGGGAGCCACCAGGGGCTCCCTGATGCTACAGGAAGCCACCAGGGGCTCCCCGATGCTACAGGGAACCACCAGGGGCTCCCCGATGCTACAGGGAACCACCAGGGGCTCCCCGATGCTTCAGGGAGCCACCAGGGGCTCCCCGATGCTACAGGGAACCACCAGGGGCTCCCCGATGCTTCAGGGAGCCACCAGGGGCTCCCCGATGCTACAGGGAGCCACCAGGGGCTCCCCAATGCTACAGGAAGCCACCAGGGGCTCCCTGATGCTACAGGAAGCCACCAGGGGCTCCCCAATGCTTCAGGGAGCCACCAGGGGCTCCCCGATGCTACAGGAAGCCACCAGGGGCTCCCTGATGATACAGGGAGTCACCAGGGGCTCCCCGATGTTACAGGAAGCCACCAGGGGCTCCCTGATGCTACAGGAAGCCACCAGGGGCTCCCTGATGCTTCAGGGAGCCACCAGGGGCTCCCCGATGCTACAGGAAGCCACCAGGGGCTCCCCGATGCTACAGGGAACCACCAGGGGCTCCCCGATGCTACAGGAAGCCACCAGGGGCTCCCCGATGCTTCAGGGAGCCACCAGGGGCTCCCCGATGCTTCAGGAAGCCACCAGGGGCTCCCTGATGCTTCAGGGAGCCACCAGGGGCTCCCCGATGCTACAGGAAGCCACCAGGGGCTCTCCGATGCTACAGGAAGCCACCAGGGGCTCTCCGATGCTACAGGGAACCACCAGGGGCTCCCCGATGCAACAGGAAGCACCAGGGGCTCCCCGATGCTTCAGGAAGCCACCAGGGGCTCCCTGATGCTACAGGAAGCCACCAGGGGCTCCCTGATGCTTCAGGGAGCCACCAGGGGCTCCCCGATGCTACAGGAAGCCACCAGGGGCTCCCTGATGCTTCAGGGAGCCACCAGGGGCTCCCTAATGCTACAGGGAACTACCAGGGGCTCCCCGATGCTACAGGGAACCACCAGGGGCTCCCCGATGCTACAGGGAGTCACCAGGGGCTCCCCGATGCTTCAGGGAGCCACCAGGGGCTCCCTGATGCTTCAGGGAGTCACCAGGGGCTCCCCAATGCTACAGGAAGCCACCAGGGGCTCCCCGATGCTTCAGGGAGTCACCAGGGGCTCCCCAATGCTTCAGGGAGCCACTAGGGGCTCCCTGATGCTTCAGGGAGTCACCAGGGGCTCCCCAATGCTTCAGAAGCCACCAGGGGCTCCCTGATGCTTCAGGGAGTCACCAGGGGCTCTCTGATGCTTCAGGGAGCCACCAGGGGCTCCCTGATGCTTCAGGGAGTCACCAGGGGCTCCCCGATGCTTCAGGGAGTCACCAGGGGCTCCCCGATGCTTCAGGGAGTCACCAGGGGCTCCCTGATGCTTCAGGGAGTCACCAGGGGCTCCCCGATGCTACAGGAAGCCACCAGGGGCTCCCCGATGCTTCAGGGAGTCACCAGGGGCTCCCTGATGCTTCAGGGAGCCACCAGGGGCTCCCTGATGGTTCAGGGAGTCACCAGGGGCTCCCCAATGCTTCAGGAGCCACCAGGGGCTCCCTGATGCTACAGGAAGCCACCAGGGGCTCCCCGATGCTTCAGGGAGTCACCAGGGGCTCCCTGATGCTTCAGGGAGCCACCAGGGGCTCCCTGATGCTTCAGGGAGTCACCAGGGGCTCCCCGATGCTTCAGGGAGTCACCAGGGGCTCCCTGATGCTTCAGGGAGCCACCAGGGGCTCCCTGATGCTTCAGGGAGCCACCAGGGGCTCCCCGATGCTTCAGGGAGTCACCAGGGGCTCCCCAATGCTTCAGGGAGTCACCAGGGGCTCCCCAATGCTTCAGGGAGTCACCAGGGGCTCCCCAATGCTACAGGAAGCCACCAGGGGCTCCCCGATGCTACAGGGAGTCACCAGGGGCTCCCTGATGCTACAGGGAACCACCAGGGGCTCTCCGATGCTACAGGAAGCCACCAGGGGCTCCCCGATGCTTCAGGGAGTCACCAGGGGCTCCCGGATGCTTCAGGGAGTCACCAGGGGCTCCCTGATGCTACAGGGAACCACCAGGGGCTCTCCGATGCTACAGGAAGCCACCAGGGGCTCCCCAATGCTACAGGGAGTCACCAGGGGCTCCCCGATGCTTCAGGGAGTCACCAGGGGCTCCCTGATGCTACAGGGAACCACCAGGGGCTCTCCGATGCTACAGGAAGTCACCAGGGGCTCCCCGATGCTACAGGGAGTCACCAGGGGCTCCCCGATGCTTCAGGGAGTCACCAGGGGCTCCACAATGCTTCAGGGAGTCACCAGGGGCTCCCCGATGCTACAGGGAGTCACCAGGGGCTCCCCGATGCTTCAGGGAGTCACCAGGGGCTCCCCGATGCTACAGGGAGCCACCAGGGGCTCCCCGATGCTACAGGGAGCCACCAGGGGCTCCCCAATGCTTCAGGGAGTCACCAGGGGCTTCCCTATGCTTCAGGGAACCACCAGGGGCTCCCCGATGCTACAGGGAGTCACCAGGGGCTCCCCGATGCTACAGGGAGTCACCAGGGGCTCCCCGATGCTACAGGGAGTCACCAGGGGCTCCCCGATGCTACAGGGAGTCACCAGGGGCTCCCCGATGCTACAGGGAGTCACCAGGGGTTCCCCAATGCTTCAGGGAGTCACCAGGGGCTCCCCGATGCTTCAGGGAGTCACCAGGGGCTCCCCAATGCTTCAGGGAGCCACCAGGGACTCCCTGATGTTTCAGGGAGCCACCAGGGGCTCCCCTATGCTTCAGGGAGTCACTAGGGGCTCCCTGATGCTACAGGGAGTCACCAGGGACTCCCTGATGTTTCAGGGAGCCACCAGGGGCTCCCCTATGCTTCAGGGAGCCACCAGGGGCTCCCCGATGCTTCAGGGAGTCACCAGGGGCTCCCCGATGCTTCAGGGAGCCACCAGGGGCTCCCCGATGCTACAGGGAGTCACCAGGGGCTCCCTGAAGCATCAGGGAGTCACCAGGGGCTCCACCGCACAATCTTGAGAGTTATCTTGAGATGATTTCGGGGCTTTAGTGTCCTTGCGGCCCGGTCCTCAACCAGGCCTCCACCCCCAGGAAGCAGCCCGTGACAGCTGACTAACACCCAGGTACCTATTTTACTGCTAGGTAACAGGGGCATAGGGTGAAAGAAACTCTGCCCATTGTTTCTCGCCGGCGCCCGGCATCAAACCCGGGACCACAGGATCACAAGTACAGCGTGCTGTCCGCTCGGCCGACCGGCTCCCAATAATTAGCATGGTGAGACAATTTGAGGTAGAATTAATATAAACTAATCCTACATGAAGTTATGGATATTTACACACCCTCAGCATCCTATATTATATTCTGGGGTAAATCCCAATTACTTGGCAGGTGTTACGTCCACTTGGAACAATTACTTGGCAGGTGTTACGTCCACTTGGAACAATTACTTGGCAGGTGTTACGTCCACTTGGAACAATTACTTGGCAGGTGTTACGTCCACTTGGAACAATTACTTGGCAGGTGTTACGTCCACTTGGAACAATTACTTGGCAGGTGTTACTCTCCCGTCCACTTGGAACAATTACTTGGCACTTGTTACTCTCCCGTCCACTTGGAACAATTACTTGGCAGTTGTTACGTCCACTTGGAACAATTACTTGGCAGGTGTTACGTCCACTTGGAACAATTACTTGGCAGGTGTTACGTCCACTTGGAACAATTACTTGGCACTTGTTACTCTCCCGTCCACTTGGAACAATTACTTGGCACTTGTTACTCTCCCGTCCACTTGGAACAATTACTTGGCACTTGTTACTCTCCCGTCCACTTGGAACAATTACTTGGCAGGTGTTACGTCCACTTGGAACAATTACTTGGCAGGTGTTACGTCCACTTGGAACAATTACTTGGCACTTGTTACGTCCACTTGGAACAATTACTTGGCACTTGTTACGTCCACTTGGAACAATTACTTGGCACTTGTTACGTCCACTTGGAACAATTACTTGGCACTTGTTACGTCCACTTGGAACAATTACTTGGCACTTGTTACGTCCACTTGGAACAATTACTTGGCACTTGTTACCCCCCCGTCCACTTGGAACAATTACTTGGCACTTGTTACGTCCACTTGGAACAAAGACCAAATTCTCGTACAAACCAGAAATTCTTGTAAACAAATACTGTACTACAAGCGTTTAATAATGTGGTTTCAAAGAACATAAACCCTGAGTGAATTATTTACATAGGAACAAGTACATGAAGTATATTATCCAGTATTAATATATATATTATGTGTGTGTAAATTAATGTATCTGGTACGCAGACGAGAAGTCACAATAACGTGGCTACATTATGTTGACTAAACTAACCTAACCTAACCTAACCTAACCTAACCAAACCTAACCTAACCAAACCAAACCAAACCTAACCTAACCTAACCTAACCTAACCTAACCAAACCTAACCTTACCTAACCGTTGACTAACCTAACCTAACCTAACCTTACCTTACCTTACCTAACCTAACCTTACCTAACCTAACCTAACCTAACCGTTGACTAACCTAACCTAACCGTTGACTAACCTAACCTAACCGTTGACTAACCTAACCTAACCGTTGACTAACCTAACCTAACCGTTGACTAACCTAACCTAACCTAACCAAACCTTACCTTACCTTACCTTACCTAACCTAACCTAACCTAACCTAACCTAACCTAACCTAACCTAACCTAACCTAACCGTTGACTAACCTAACCTAACCGTTGACTAACCTAACCTAACCTAACCAAAACGTCGCCATCCCGTCACTTCGTGGTTTGGTCAACATATCTGGTACGAGTAGCCTCACCTGGAAGCTGGGTACAAATCTGGCGATTTCACCAGTCCAATTATGAAGAGTAGAAGCAGGTGTGATTATTAAGAAAGGACCCCAAGTATCTGAAACAAAAACATTATTATTTAAAATATTTCGTCTAGCAAACACATTCCTGTGCTGATACAGGGTATTGTTTAAGCTGGAATCTGCTCTATTTTAACGGAGTGAAATCTAGAATGCTTACCTAGCACGACTTGTGAGAGCTTGGTCCAACAGACTGTTGCTTGGAAAGGCCAGCAGGCCCACACATCCACTACAACTCTGTTGGTCTAGTGCTTCTTGCATGAACATGTCTAATTTTTTATTTATTTGTTTTTATTTGAGATATATACAAGAGTTGTTACATTCTTGTAGGGCCACTAGTACGCATAGCGTTTCGGGCAAGTCCTTAATCCTATGGTCCCTGGAATACGATCCCCTGCCGCGAAGAATCGTTTTTTCATTCAAGTACACATTTTACTGTTGCGTTAAATAGAGGCTACAGTTAAGGAATTGCGCCCAGTAAATCCTCCCCGGCCAGGATACGAACCCATGACATAGTGCTCGCGGAACGCCAGGCGAGTGTCTTACCACTACACCACGGAGACTGCAATTGCTTCTTGAAGAAGTCCACCTTTGCTCAAACAGTATTGTCTATGCTTGCTGGGAGAGAATTGAACAACTGTGGATTTCTGAGTTGCCATTTTTACTCCTTACCGATTCTATTCTGCATTTTCTTCCATATTATGTAAGAAAATTGCTATTTTCTTCCATCATGTTATTTTATGAAGTATGTAACATACTTTTATCATAAAGTATGTTATTTTGCTGTGTAAGTTGGAGACCTGGCCATCCAGTATCTTCCATGAACAAATCCACAAGGGCCGTGTCCATGTCGTTGCGCAATCGACTAAGGCGCGTCTGGAATCATCTCGGACGTAGGTTCGATCCCTCATCATGGCCCTTGTGGATTTGTTCATTTGATGTATCACGCTATTGTGATTTCTGTGTGTATACAGTATCGTCCATATATATATTTCAATAATTTAGGTGCACTATTGTGTCTATGCACGCTGTATATATATATTCTCTATATTTCCTCAATTTCAGAAATCTCTCCCACTTTGAAAGGAGGAGCGAGTACTGAGCAGTACTCAAGATGAGACTGCACCAGCGATATAAATTAGCATTAACATCGTGGCAGAATACCTGAGGCCAGATTCACGAAAGCACTTACGCAACCACTTACGAACTTGTACATCTTTTCTCAATCTTTGGCGGCTTTGTTTCCAATTATTAAACAGTTAATGAGCTCCGAAGCACCAGAAGGCTGTTTATAACAGTAACAACAGTTGAATGGGAAGTTTTCATGCTTGTAAAGTGTTTAATAAATGTAACTAAAGCCGTTAAAGATTGAGGAAAGATGTACACGTTCGTAAGTGCTTGCGTAAGTGCTTTCTTGAATCTGGCCCCTGCATTTGAACATAATCATAATCCATCCTATCATTTTCCTAGCTGACATTATATGTGCTTGGTTATGTTCACTAAATGTAAGGTTGTCAAACATCATAATTCCAAAATCTTTTACACGCTTTCTTTCTATGAGTAGGTCTGACTGCATCTTGTACCCTGTATTTCATTTAAGTTCTTCATTTCTACCATAGCTACTAAGTACAGTATCTGGAATTTATTACTGTTAGGACTCATGCTTTTTCCAACGCCCAACTGAAGATTTCATCATTATAGGCAACCCGCCAAACACACACCGAAACTACGACGTTGGTACAACGTTCGAACAAGTTTTAACACCTCCTAACCAGTTATAACAACCAATATAGCAAGTTGTAACAACGTTCTAATATGTCATAAACCCGTTAAGCCAAGATGTAACAACTTTATTACAAGTTGTAACAAGCTGAAAATAGAAACAGTTACGGTTTGTGTTTCCAGGCAAGTAGTTTTTCCAGTGTATTCTACCGAGGTAATTTTCATATTGATTTTTGGTAACATTAGCAATGGCTAACACAAGGCTGTGGCTGTATTTTTTGTTTTTATCTGATATGAAAATGAGAAAAAGAAGTGGCACAAGGACTGTGCCCTAGGGTACAGGGCACTAGGACTTTATTATATTTCATAGAATGCAAAGCGTAACAGTCATTTTGACAGAACATTGAATATCCAATTCCCCATTTTACTTCCTATTTATCAATCTCATTCCATGGTCACATTTACCAAATGCCTTTGCAAAGTCCGTGTATACAACATCTGCATTTTGTTTTTTTCTAATGCATCTGTGATTTGTCATAATGGTTCAGTAATTGCAAAAGACAAGATCTTCCTGCTCTAAATCCATGTTGACCTGGTTAGTGGAAGTCATTGGTTTCGTCAACCAGTGTCATATATGACCAAACCCAATCTTGAGGTTATCTTGAGATGATTTCGGGGCTTTAGTGTCCCCGCGGCCCGGTCCTCAACCAGGCCTCCACCCCCAGGAAGCAGCCCGTGACAGCTGACTAACACCCAGGTACCTATTTTACTGCTAGGTAACAGGAGCATAGAGTCCAAGAAACTCTGCCCATTGTTTCTCGCCGGCGCCTGGAATCGAACCCAGGACCACAGGATCACAAGTCCAGTGTGCTGTCCGCTCGGCCGACCGGCTCCCCTGGTAAACCTTGTAAGCACCACACAGACAGAGAAAGAAAGACCCATATTGGAACTCCATTTTGAGCCAGAGCCCAAATTGAGACAGTGGGTAGTAAGGGCTATCTTGAGGTTATCTTGAGGTTAATTGAGATTATTTCGGGGCTTAGCGTCCCTGCAGCCCGGTCCTTGACAAGGCCTCCTTTTTGTTACACATCCCCAGAAAGCAGCCCGTAGCAGCTGTCTAACTCCCAGGTATACGTATTTACTGCTAGGTGTACTGGGGCATCAGGGTGAAAGAGAGACTGCCCATTTCTTTCCGCCACCGCTGGGGATCGAACCCGGGGCCCTTAGGACTACGAATCCTGAGCGCTGTCCCCTCAGTTGTCAGGGCCCCAAACCTCTCTCTGAAGGGGGAAGCGAACCACCAGGAGAAAGTGCCAAAGAAAATGCAAAGGACAAAACAAGGAAGCGGAATGAAGAACAACAGCATTAAATATGCCAAAACTAGAAGACAGAAGAAAAAAGAGGCGATATGATCACTACATACAAAACAGTTTTCTGTTTATTATTATTATTTTCTACCACAGACGTGGCCACACATTTACAATGCTAACCACCATATATACATTTTCTTCTGTCCTCCATGGACAGGGTTAGAGATCAGTTAAACATATAGTTCAGGGATTTATTGAACAATCAACCATAGAAGGTGATTCGGTACTTTTAAAATGCTTAGCTAACCATACAAAACAGTAATGGGAATCAACAAAATTGACAGGGAAGAATTCCTGAGACCTGGAACTTCAAGAACAAGAGGTCATAGACTTAAACTAAAACAAAACTGCCAAAGAAATATAAGAAAATTTCCCTTTCGCAGAATGGTAGACTCGGAGTCACGGAGCCGGTCGGCCGAGCGGACAGCACGCGGGACTTGTGATCCTGTGGTCCTGGGTTCGATCCCAGGCGCCGGCGAGAAACATTGGGCAGAGTTTCTTTCACCCTATGCCCCTGTTACCTAGCAGTAAAATAGGTACCTGGGTGTTAGTCAGCTGTCACGGGCTGCTTCCTGGGGGTGGAGGCCTGGTCGAAGACCGGGCCGCGGGGACACTAAAGCCCCGAAATCATCTCAAGATAACCTCAAGATAATCAAGACTGTTGGAACAAGCTAAGTGAGAAGGTGGTAGAGGCCAAAACCATCAGTAGTTTCAAAGCGTTATAAGACAAAGAGTACTGAGAAGACGGGACACCACGAGTATAATCGCCCAGAGAAGACGGGACACCACGAGTATAATCAACCAGAGAAGACGGGACACCACGAGTATAATCACCCAGAGAAGACGGGACACCACGAGTATAATCAACCAGAGAAGACGGGACACCACGAGTATAATCAACCAGAGAAGACGGGACACCATGAGTATAATCAACCAGAGAAGACGGGACACCACGAGTATAATCAACCAGAGAAGACGGGACACCACGAGTATAATCACCCAGAGAAGACGGGACACCACGAGTATAATCACCCAGAGAAGACGGGACACCACGAGTATAATCACCAGAGAAGACGGGACTACACTAAAGTAATCACCAGAGAAGACGGGACTACACTTAAGTAATCACCAGAGAAGACGGGACTACACTTAAGTAATCACCAGAGAAGACGGGACTACACTAAAGTAATCACCAGAGAAGACGGGACTACACTAAAGTAATCACCAGAGAAGACGGGACTACACTAAAGTAATCACCAGAGAAGACGGGACTACACTAAAGTAATCACCAGAGAAGAGCACTGCTCGGGCAGCACTAGTAAGCACTCGGGGGAGAAGAAAACGTCAACACATGTAGCACTAGTAAGCACTCGGGGAAGAAGAAAACGTCAACACATGCAGCACTAGTAAGCACTCGGGGAAGAAGAAAACGTCAACACATGCAGCACTAGTAAGCACTCGGGGGAGAAGAAAACGTCAACACATGCAGCACTAGTAAGCACTCGGGGGAGAAGAAAACGTCAACACATGCAGCACTAGTAAGCACTCGGGGGAGAAGAAAACGTCAACACATGCAGCACTAGTAAGCACTCGGGGGGGAAGAAAACGTCAACACATGCAGCACTAGTAAGCACTCGGGGGAGAAGAAAACGTCAACACATGCAGCACTAGTAAGCACTCGGGGGGAAGAAAACGTCAACACATGCAGCACTAGTAAGCACTCGGGGGAGAAGAAAACGTCAACACATGCAGCACTAGTAAGCACTCGGGGGAGAAGAAAACGTCAACACATGCAGCACTAGTAAGCACTCGGGGAGAAGAAAACGTCAACACATGCAGCACTAGTAAGCACTCGGGGGAGAAGAAAACGTCAACACATGCCGCTCTAAGCACAAAAGAAGCCAAGTCAACACAAACAAACTGCAAAAGAAACCTGCCCATGAAGATAAAACTAAAATCAAAGAATATAATACACAAGCAAATGTCCCCCTACAGGATGAAAGAAGTCCAAGGATGGTCAGCATCACTCGGACCATCCTTGGATGGTCCGAGTGATGGCCCAGAACACTACAGGTAGCCGTAACCATTATCACAACACAAACAGGGAACTGGGCTTTGAGTAAATCTGATGTTTGGTTTGAATCACATACGGAGTTGTTCGGCAATTTCAAGGATTCATATTCTTTGAACCCTTCGTTTTTCTGTAAAGCTTTGTTGACTTTCTGGATGTGTTCCCAGTTGTCGGTGAAATGTTATTCGCATTTTGCACCTTTGCGCCTGTGGTCCCGGGTTCGATCCCAGGCGCCGGCGAGAAACAATGGGCAGAGTTTCTTTCACCCTATGCCCCTGTTACCTAGCAGTAATATAGGTACCTGGGTGTTAGTCAGCTGTCACGGGCTGCTTCCTGGGGGTGGAGGCCTGGTCGAGGACCGGGCCGCGGGGACACTAAAAGCTCCGAAATCATCTCAAGATAACCTCTCAAGATAACCCTGATGCACCTGTTCACCTAGCAGTCAATACATATACCTGGGAGTTAGGCAGCTGCTATGGGCTGCTTCCTAGGGATGTGTAACAAAAAGGAGGCCTGGTCGAGGACCGGACCGCGGGGACACTAAGCCCCAAAATCATCTCAAGATAACCTCCAGGGCCCAGATTCACGAAAGTACTTACGCAAGCACTTACGAACGTGTACATCTTTCTTCAATCTTTGACGGCTTTGGTTACATTTATTAAACAGTTTACAAGCATGAAAACTTGCCATTCAGCTGTTGTTATTGTTATAAACAGCCTCCTGGTGCTTTGGAGCTCATTAACTGTTTAATAATTGTAAACAAAGCCGCCAAAGATTGAGAAAAGATGTACAGGTTCGTAAGTGCTTGCGTAAGTACTTTCGTGAATCTGGCCCCAGATTGTGAGGGTCCAGGTTCTGGCTCTGGTAGGCTAAAAAAAAAAAAACTCCTGCAAATGACGTGACCATTTAACTGGTCACATCGGGGGTTTCACCAAGGGCTTTCCCTGACATCTTGAAGGTGCAACTATGCAAAGATATGGATTCTAGTCAGTTTGGTAAAAAAAACTCGCCAAAATTCAACGAATAATAATAATGAGAAATAATGAGTCATAATGATGTTAATGAGTCATAATGATAATGAGAAATACTAATGAGTCAGTCACTGCTGACTGACTCATCCATCAGTCCTGAGACTGATGAATGCTTACTACGACTATTGAAAAGCACCATTTTATGAACACTGGCCACTTTTTCTAACGATAGAGCACAAAATTTGAGGTTCTACTGTATAATGTTACGATTCTGTTTAACCTAACCTAACCTAACCTAACCTAACCATTCTATGAACACTGGCCAGTTTTTCTAACGATAGAGCACAAAATTTGAGGTTCTACTGTATAATGTTACGATTCTGTTTAACCTAACCTAACCTAACCATTTTATGAACACTGGCCAGTTTTTCTAACGATAGAGCACAAAATTTGAGGTTCTACTGTATAATGTTACGATTCTGTTTAACCTAACCTAACCTAACCTAACCTAGGTTTTTCTAATGATAGAGCACAAAATTTGAGGTTCTACTGTATAATGTTACGATTCTGTTTAACCTAACCTAACCTAACCTAACCTAGGTTTTTCTAATGATAGAGCACAAAATTTGAGGTTCTGCTGTATAATGTTACGATTCTGTTTAACCTAACCTAACCTAACCTAACCTAACCTAACCTAACCTGACCTAACCTGACCTAACCTAACCTAACCTAACCTAACCTAACCTTGATAGCTTGATAGCTTGATAGCTTCATACCTTCATAGCAAGAATTCTTATTATCAACAAAACTTTATTATTCAGTATACAACTTGCTAATTACTGTATTGCTAAAGATAGACCAATGCAATAAGCCATCAAAACTTACCGTACTGCTCACATATATGCGCTAGAAATGCAATTGATTGAACTGTCTTGCCCAGACCCATCTCATCTGCTAGGATGCCATTGATTCCCTGTAAATATTGAAATAAAGAGTCAATGGGGCAATGAATTATTGTTTAATCTATGAATGAAAAAATCACATTAGTCATAAGAATGAAAATCAACAACCCAAACCAACAAAATATATATTATCTGTCACGTGCAGGTTGAGAAGTCACAATAATATGGCTGAAATATGTTGACCAAACCACATACTAGAAAGTGAATCGACGACGACGTTTCGGTCCATCCTGGACCATTCTCAAGTCGATTGTGACTTGAAAATGATCCAGGACGGACCGAAACGTCATCGTCCCTTCACTTTCTAGTGTGTGGTTTGGTCAACATATTATCTATCACGTCTGTGCACATTATTGCTTCCCACTGTTGAGGACACAAAGCTTCTTAGGCTAACTGAGGTCCTCTAGGCAAACCACTCACCTTCTTGAGGTTATCTTGAGATGATTTCGGGGCTTTAGTGTCCCCGTGGCCCGGTCCTCGACCAGGCCTCCACCCCCAGGAAGCAGCCCGTGACAGCTGACTAACTCTCAGGTACCTATTTACTGCTAGGTAACAGGGGCATTCAGGGTGAAAGAAACTTTGCCCATTTGTTTCTGCCTCGTGCGGGAATCGAACCCGCGCCACAGAATTACGAGTCCTGCGCGCTATCCACCAGGCTACGAGGCCCCCCCTTGGATGCCAACCACAACAGTCACCTAACTCCCAGTTAAAAAAAAAAAAAAGAGGCATCAGGTCATCATGTTTACGCACATTTCAGTCCTGCCATTGGAATTGAACCCAGGACACCAACCGCTCTCCCTGGAAACACAAACCGAAACTGTCTCTATTTTCCGCTTGTTACAACTTGTAATAAAGTTGTTACATCTTGGCTTAACGTGCTTATGACGTATTAGAACGTTGTTACAACTTGCTATATTGGTTGTTATAACTGGTTAGGAGGGCTTAAAACTTGTTCGAACGTTCCACCAACGTCGTAGTTTCGGTGTGTGTTTGGCGGGCTACTTCCCACCCTATGGGGAACAGAGCGAGAGTACTAGTGAGTCTTCAGAGAAGCTGCTCAGGTCCCTGTATTTTTGACAGGTATACATGTCAAATGAAGTCAGTGGACATGTCAAGTGGTGACTTCATTACGAGGGTATAGTAGTGCAGAGATACTTTAGATAAAGATATTTTAAAGAGCATTGACCGAGTGCCACCAGTGCCTCACTGCTCCCCTTCTCTGTCTCTCTGTCTCTCTCTCTCTGTCTCTCTGTCTCTCTGTCTCTGTCTCTTTGTCTCTTTGTCTCTTTGTCTCTCTGTCTCTCTCCTAACACATAGATAACAAATTTTTGAACAATAAGTATGAAATCCAAGCTAAAAATAAACAATCAAATAATAACTTACAAAGTAGTAGAGATTAGCCAGCCAATTCATGCCATTCATCTGATAGCTTTTGAGGACACCCCGAAATATAGTTGGTTGTGGATGTTCCTTTGATTCTTTTGATCGTCCAAAGTCTGGAATAATTTTGCTTTCATTTCCCGAGAACAGACTTAGTTTGGCTTGCTGATTGGAATATGCCTCTTGAGCCGTCTTCAGAGCCTGAACCTTCATGGCTTCACTGTAAAACACAAAGTGTTGATTGTAATGAAATGACAATATTTGGGCGAGTCTCTGATGCTCCCTGAAGCTACTCTCTCTGACAGTCTGCCAATTAGTTGGTTACATCAGTTGTGGAGTTGTATAAGCTCATCAGTGTCCAATGCTAGAACATGATAATAAAAATAATAAATGTTTATTCAGGTGCATACATACAAGAGATTTTACAAAAATTGATAGATTTATAGATAGAGCTAGTATATACAATGCCTACAGCCACTATTACGCAAAGCATTTCAGGCAGACATGGCCCCTTCACACAGGCACAGATAGCAGTGGCATTTATTTATTTATGCCACCACCGGGAGAGCAAGCAGAAAGAAAGAGCCGGCGGCAGACAAACTACCCTGATTTTTGTTCCCACCAAAACTCTGCCCTCAGAGAGGAGCATGAACCTCACCCACCCGAGCACCGGAAGGAACGGAAAAACGCCTCATGAGCCGCCAGAGGAAGGACTCGAGAGGCAGAAGGATGATCACCACAAGCCCAAAGGGATGCAGAACAGAACTACAGAGAGAGCCACATGCACAACAGAAGCACACAGGGAGTGAGGGGGGGTTACAAACCCCCGCTCCCCCAACCCCCCCAATTAAAGAACCATGTAGAGTCAAACAGGCTCTAAGGAGCACGCACACAACTTTCCAAAGCCCCAGAAGCCACAAATGAGAACCCTGGGGTTGAGCCTATGTGTGTGCCCACCGGTCGGGATATGTGTGGGAGCCGGTCGGCCGAGCGGACAGCACGCTGGACTTGTGATCCTGTGGTCCCGGGTTCGATCCCGGGCGCCGGCGAGAAACAATGGGCAGAGTTTCTTTCACCCTATGCCCCTGTTACCTAGCAGTAAAATAGGTACCTGGGTGTTAGTCAGCTGTCACGGGCTGCTTCCTGGGGGTGGAGGCCTGGTCGAGGACCGGGCCGCGGGCACACTAAAAAGCCCCGAAATCATCTCAAGATAACCTCAAGATAACCACCCGGGATAGAAAGGTGGAGTCCAAGGGAAAGGCTTTCAAGGAAGGAGTGGCCGGCTGAAAGAAAGACCCAAAAGCCCCAGTGGGACAAAGTAGACTCGGCAACCTCTGTCCCCGAATCAGAAGGGTCGACTCCCAGAACCACACCCTAATCTGGAAACCCTCAGATGTCATTAGGCCAGAAGCAGGGAGGAGGAGGGAAGAACAGAAGAGGGGGAGTACCATGCCCACAAAGGAAGGAAGGAAGAAGGTGTAGACAAAACTAATGTAGAAGTTACCAAATACCTCCAATTCCGAGACCCGAACACCAGTGCAGCAACTGCGGGGGCATCTGCCTGGGCACACAACCTAGACTAGCCACCAGATAAGCCCAAACCACAGCAAGAGAGCCATAAAGAAGAGCCACATGGGGAGAACAATCTTCCATAGAACCCAGAGGTCGAAGGTGCCACCGACCCAACCAGCCACACAGCGGAGGCAGATGGACTGAATGGCACCACATGGCTGGGGTGGTGTGCAACCCTTAAACTTATTCCGAAACGAGAGCAGGATTGGTGGGAATACCCAGGGGGGCCCACCGAACCTGCAGAGGATTTCCAGGGCCACTTTAATTTGACCAAGACAAAATGAGTGTATGGAGAAACACAGCAGATGGACATCAATGCCAATAAATGCCACATTATGTAATGTGGAATAGGAGAAACTAGGCTTCACACAACCTACAAATTGCAGACGAGAAGTCACAATAACGTGGCAGAAATATGTTGACCAAACCACACACTAGAAAGTGAAGGGAGGACTATGTTTCGCTCCGTCCTGGACCATTCTCATGTCAACTTGAGAATGGTCCAGGACGGACCGAAACGTCGTCGTCCCTTCACTTTCTAGTGTGTGGTTTGGTCAACCTACAAATTATTTGAAAAGGCATTAAAGAACTTTGACAAAGAAAGAGATCTATGGGTGGTTCTGGATAGTAGACAGTCACCAGAGGACCACATGAAACCAGCGATGAATGTAATGAAACGCCATTTTCTAGGCGAGCCCTGGAGACCCCCCACAGAAAGGACATTGAATAAGGCGCATATGCTACACTTTCCAACTTCAGGATCACTTTTAAATGTCGTATATGGATGTTGAAATACTAAAGAAATTGTTCACGACTTTTGCAAGACCAAAATTGGAATATGCAGCAGCTGAATAGTGCTCACATCAATTAACACATCAATAAACTGGAAGGAGGTTGCAAAGACATGCTACTAAATAGCTTTTGGATCTAAATAACAAGAGCTCAATGTGAAGCTATAGATGTTAAATATGCCAAAGCTAGATAGAACCAAATGATGCAACATGATCACTATATACAAAATAGCAACAGGAACTGCCACAGAAGACAAAGAAGAATTTCTGAAAACAGCAACTACAAAAAACAATAGGTCATAGACTCGAGCTAAAGAAATAAGGGCACTAAAAAAATATTAGACAGTTATCTTTTGCAAGCAGAGTGGCAGACGGTAAGAATAAATGAAATGAAAGGATGATCGATACCAAAACCACCAGTAGAGTATTTTCAAAGTATTATATGACAAAGCACTGGGAAGAGGGAACACCATAAGCATATCACGCAGAAATCCCAATAACGTGACGCATCAAATGAACAAATCCACAAGGGCTGTAATTACCTAAGTGCAGTTACAGGATGAGAGCTACGCTCGTGGTGTCCCGTCTCCCCAGCACTCTTTGTCATATAACGCTTTGAAACTACTGACGGTCTTGGCCTCCATCACCTTCTCACCTAACTTGTTCCAACCGTCTACCACTCTGCGAAAGTGAATTTTCTTATATTTCTTCGGCATCTGTGTTTAGCTAATTTAAATCTATGACCTCTGACAAGGGTTCGAAGCTACGTCTGAGAGGATCCCAGACGCGCCTTAATCGACTGTGTCTCGGGTTGTGTCTCAGAGAGACTAAGGGATCCGTGTGAGGGCAGTTGAACTCCCAGTTGCAATTTCTTGAGTTATCTTGAGGTTATCTTGAAATGATTTCGGGGCTTTTAGTGTCCCCGCGGCCCGGTCCTCGACCAGGCCTCCACCCCCAGGAAGCAGCCCGTGACAGCTGACTAACACCCAGGTACCTATTTTACTGCTAGGTAACAGGGGCATTCAGGGTGAAAGAAACTTTTGCCCATTTGTTTTTGCCTCGTGCGGGAATCGAACCCGCGCCACAGAATTACGAGTCCTGCGCGCTGTCCACCAGGCTACGAGGCCCCTCCCTATTATTTTACCATGTCGTGGCGCGGTCGATTAAGGCACGTCTGGGATCCTCTCGGACATAGGTTCGAATCCTCATCACGGCCTTGTGAATTTGTTCACCACAAGCAAAGCTCTCATCCCATAAATGCCCTTAGGTATCGGCATATCGGAGCTTACCAATCTGTGACTACGGAGGGGATGACCTAGCTCTTTATACCCCATCTCCTAGCCATCCATATCTGGCACGTTCATTACCCCTCTGAACATTAAGTTTTCATCATATTATTCCCAAAGTTGTGGATGGAATTGGCTTCAACAACTTCTTCTTTCAATGCATTCCACTCACCTACCACCCATATCTTGAGGTTATCTTGAGATGATTTCGGGGCTTTTTTTAGTGTCCCCGCGGCCCGGTCCTCGACCAGGCCTCCACCCCCAGGAAGCAGCCCGTGACAGCTGACTAACACCCAGGTACCTAATTTACTGCTAGGTAACAGGGGCATAGGGTGAAAGAAACTCTGCCCATTGTTTCTCGCCGGCGCCTGGGATCGAACCCAGGTCCACAGGATCACAAGTCCCGCGTGCTGTCCGCTCGGCCGACCGGCTCCCCATACAGGGAATGAAAACTTCCCTACATCTCTTTGACTCAGATGCATGTCCAACTTCCATCGATGTCTCCCTTATCCAACCTCTTTTTATAGACTTCCTTTATCCACCTCATCTAGGCCTCTCAAGATCTTATATGTAGTTAACATATGTCCTCTGGATGCAGACGAGGAGTCACAATAACGTGGCTGAAATATGTTGACCAAACCACTCACTAGAAAGTGAAGGGACGACGACGTTTCGGTCCGTCCTGGACCATTCTCAAGTCACAATCGACTTGAGAATGGTCCAGGACAGACAGAAACGTTGTCGACCCTTCACTTTCTAGTGTGTGGTTTGGTCAACATATGTCCTCTCTTTCTTCTATCCTCTAAGGTTATGAATTAATTCCATTTAGGTAATTACATAAACATACATTGCTTAAAGACAATTCAAGAAAAACTGAATACTAAATTACCAGTCATAATCATCGAGCGAGGACGAAGGCATTGAAGTATCATCTTCCAACTGCTTCAAGATGCTGCTGGTATCTTCATCTTCCATAGATACTGATCCCATCTTATTCTTCATGAAGTGAGCATATAGTTCTGGCAGAGTGATGAGGAAATTCACCTTACGTTGCTGCCTTTTAACCTGTTCAACACATATTAAATATGACAAAACGTCAGGGTAGTGTTGTTGGGAATGACTAAACATACACGAAGTGCAGATGATGAGTCACAATAACGTGGCTGAAATATATTGACTAGACCACACACTAGAAAATGAAGGGATGACGACGTTTCGGTCCCTCCAGGACCATTCTCAAGTCGATGAGAGAATGGTCCAGGACGGACCAAAACGTCGTCGTCCCTTCACCTTCTAGTGTGTGGTCTGGTCAACATACATCAAGTGTTTATGAACAACAACCTATAACTCTTGGGTTGGAAAGCTATTAGAAATGTGGCCATTAGAAATTAATAAGTTATTTAGCCTCATAAACAGTTTTGATACTAATTAAAAGTGAGTGATAACTAATTTACTATGGACTTTACTATGGAATGGAATTCATTATGGAATGGAGGTGAAGTCCATTTATCTAGGTTTAAAAATGTGTTAATTGCATCTTGTACTTACCTCTAAGATTTCTTTATCCATCTTCCGCTGCTCTTCAGCTTCTCTCTCGGCTCTGCGATTTTGCTCTTTTAAAATGCGGTCGAACTTCTTCCACTCTCCTTGCATTGTTCTTGTTAGTCTCTTCAACATCCACACTTTATCCTTCACCGTTTTTTGACTCTGAAGAAAAAGATTGTCAAACATTCCCTTTCATTAACAGACAATCAACAAAGATTGTCGACATAAACATGTCGTATTGGACATGTTTATGAGTGGGATTGGGTGGTTTTAGATAGGAGTTGCCTCGTATGGGCCAATAGGCCTTCTGCAGTTACCTTGTTCTTATGTTCTTATTACCTTTAATACTATGGTACATATTCACATTACTAAATGATGAAAATGTTTATACACTAATTTGAATTGCTGACATGCTAACCTGATTTCAAACTTGTTTCTAAGAAGCATTTACTAGCACCTTCTTATCTTGAGATGATTTCGGGGCTTTTAGGGTCCCTGCGGCCCGGTCCTCGACCAGGCCTCCACCCCCAGGAAGCAGCCCGTGACAGCTGACTAACACCCAGGTACCTATTTTACTGCTAGGTAACAGGGGCATAGGGTGAAAGAAACTCCGCCCATTGTTTCTCGCCGGCGCCTGGGATCGAACCCGGGACCACAGGATCACAAGTCCAGCGTGCTGTCCGCTCGGCCGACCGGCTCCCTCCAAGGCAGTTTATTTACTCAGCCCATCCTCCTGTTTTGGTAGTACTTATAGTAACGATGAGGACCATAGTATACACACCGACGTACATCGACATTAGAAAGTAGAACTCTGAAATATTGAGTTGCACAAACTGGAAAACTATTTTTTTACTTGTGTTGCTTTCACAAACTAAACTAACCTAACCTAACCTCCCTAGGCCTAATACACAATATCTGAGGCCTCATATAGTACATATGTGTGCTATACTAGGCCTATCAATATTTAAGTTTGAGTTTAGCTTCACTTATTTTAAAAGGATTCCTTACTAGTCAGCATTTTACTATCTAAAAGCTAAGAACGTACGAATCCTGACTATCGACGACCGGTACAATAGGTACTCTCTAAACAGGAGGATGAGTTGATTTACTACACACTAACTTCCCCCTAACCCAGAATCATGTCATGTCTAATGAACAAATCCACAAGGGCCGTGACGAGGATTCGAACTTACGTCCGGCAGCATCCCAGACACTGCCTTAATCCACTGAGCTACGACATGGTTAAAAAGAGTTGAAACCGAAGTTCTACTGAACGTGTAATGTCATGTCTACTATCATTTGGCTGGATTTTACTCTGGCCAAGGCGATCACCTGTGTAATCTGACAGTGTCAACACTTGCATGGACGCACACACCTGTGTAATCTGACAGTGTCAACACTTACATGGACGCACACACCTGTGTAATCTGACAGTGTGTACACTTACATGGACGCACACACCTGTGTAATCTGACAGTGTCAACACTTACATAGACGCACACACCTGTGTAATCTGACAGTGTCAACACTTACATGGACGCACACACCTGTGTAATCTGACAGTAATTACCTAAGTGTAATTACCTAAGTGTAGTTACAGGATGAGAGCTACGCTCGTGGTGTCCCGTCTTCCCAGCACTCTTTGTCATACAACGCTTTGAAACTACTGACGGTCTTGGCCTCCACCACCTTCTCACTTAACTTGTTCCAACCGTCTACCACTCTATTTGCGAAGGTGAATTTTCTTATATTTCTTCGGCATCTGTGTTTAGCTAGTTTAAATCTATGGCCTCTTGTTCTTGAAGTTCCAGGTCTCAGGAAGTCTTCCCTGTCGATTTTATCAATTCCTGTTACTATTTTGTACGTAGTGATCATATCACCTCTTTTTCTTCTGTCTTCTAGTTTTGGCATATTTAATGCTTCTAACCTCTCCTCGTAGCTCTTGCCCTTCAGTTCTGGGAGCCACTTAGTAGCATGTCTTTGCACCTTTTCCAGTTTGTTGATGTGCTTCTTAAGATATGGGCACCACACAACAGCTGCATATTCTAGCTTTGGCCTAACAAAAGTCATGAACAACTTCTTTAGTATATCGCCATCCATGTATTTAAATGCAATTCTGAAGTTAGAAAGCATTGCATAGGCTCCTTGCACAATATTCTTAATGTGGTCCTCAGGTGATAGTTTTCTATCTAGAACCACTCCTAGATCTCTTTCTTTATCAGAATTCTTTAAAGATTTCTCACATAATATATAGGTTGTGTGGGGTCTATGTTCTCCTATTCCACATTCCATAACATGACATTTATTAACATTAAATTCCATTTGCCAAGTGGTGCTCCATATACTTATTTTGTCCAGGTCTTCTTGAAGGGCATGACAATCATCTAAATTTCTTATCCTTCCTATTATCTTAGCATCATCAGCAAACATGTTCATATAATTCTGTATACCAACTGGTAGATCATTTATGTACACAATAAACATCACTGGTGCAAGAACTGAACCCTGTGGTACTCCACTTGTGACATTTCTCCATTCCGATACATTGCCTCTGATTACTGCCCTCATTTTTCTATCAGTCAGAAAATTTTTCATCCATGATAGAAGCTTACCTGTCACCCCTCCAATATTTTCCAGTTTCCAGAACAACCTCTTATGTGGAACTCTGTCGAAAGCCTTTTTTAGGTCCAGATAGATGCAGTCAACCCAGCCATCTCTTTCCTGTAATATCTCTGTGGCCCGATCATAGAAACTGAGTAAATTCGATACACAGGATCTTCCTGATCGAAAACCATACTGTCTGTCTGATATTATATCATTTCTCTCCAGGTGTTCTACCCATTTAGTTTTGATTAGCTTTTCCAATACTTTCACTATTACACTTGTCAATGATACAGGTCTATAATTGAGGGGGTCTTCCCTGCTGCCACTTTTGTAGATTGGAACTATGTTAGCCTGTTTCCACACGTCTGCTACGATTCCTGTACACAGGGATGCCTGAAAGATCAGGTGAAGTGGAATGCTGAGCTCAGATGCACATTCTCTCAGAACCCATGGTGAAACGCCATCTGGGCCAGCTGCTTTGTTCCTCCCGAGCTCCTTTAGCATATTTTCCACTTCATCTCTAGACACCTCTATCCGCTCTATGTTGTTCTCTGGAATTCTTATTGTGTCTGGTTCTCTGAAGATTTCATTTTGTACAAACACACTTTGGAACTTTTCATTTAATGTTTCACACATTTCCTTTTCATTTTCCGTGAATCTGTTTCCCATTTCCAACCTCTGGATATTATCCTTTACCTGCAATTTGTTGTTTATGAATTTGTAGAATAGGCCCGGTTCTGTTTTACATTTATCTGCTATCCCTTTTTCAAAATTTCTTTCTGCCTCTCTCCTTACTGCTGTATAATTGTTTCTCGCATCTTTGTATCGCTGGTATGTTTGGGGGTTTGGCCTCTTCCTATACTGATTCCATTTTTGTGTCTTTTGGTCTCTTGCCCTCTCACAATTTCTGTCGAACCAATCCTGTTTTCTGGTCCTGCATCTCTGTTTTGGTATAAATTTTTTTGTGCCTTTATCATATATTTCACAAAACTTGCCATACATCTCATTCACTTCCTTGCCTAGCATCAAGTCTGTCCAATTATACTCACTAAAAAAATTTCTAAGGTCACCATAATGTCCTCTCCTGAAGTCTGGTTTTTCAACTGCTTCAACCTCCTTATTTTCTTCCAGCTTATAACGCATTGCATACTTTATTCCCAAAAAGACATGGTCACTTTTACCCAAGGGAGGAAGGTACTGAATGTCAAATATCTCTTCCTCCTTCCTGGTAAATATCAAATCTAGCATGGAGGGAACGTCCCCTTCCCTCATCCTCGTAGCTTGTTTAACATGTTGATACAAGAATGTTTCCAGGATGAGGTCTACAAATTTACAGGTCCAAAAATCTTCTGTTTTAGCTTCATATGCTTCCCAGTCTATGGATTTCAAGTTGAAGTCACCGACTATCAACAGTCGTGATCTATCGTTATCCGCTCTCGCTATAATCTCTCTCATTATTGTTATAAGACCTTCACGTTTACTATCTAGCTCCTCCTTTGACCATGTGCTGCTTGGCGGTGGACTATATGCATTTATCATCATTAGTTTATCATCCTCATAGCAGATCTCTAGTGTTATTATGTCAACTTCTTGTGGATTGGCAGTCATTATTTCCTTCACCTTTAGGTGTTCTTTTACCAGCACAGCAACGCCACCGCCTTTCCTAATTTTTCTGTCCCGTCTCCAAATTGAGTAGCCCCTTGGGAATATGACCTCATTTAAAATTACATCTTCAAGTTTTGTCTCCGTGAGTGCAACAATGTCTGGTGTCTGCAGCTGTATTACATCACTTAACTCCAGTATCTTCGATCTCACTCCATCTATGTTGGTGTATGCAATCTTCAGGAACTTGTTCCCCCTCTCCTTATTCTTCACTTCCCCTCTCTCTATTGATTTTGTTGGTTTGCCTTTATGTACCACTTTACTGGTTTGCCTACCCCTATCACTTTGTAGAAAAAAGAATTTATTTCTTCTTCATTCCTGCTCTCATTTAAATGTTTTGCCTCGGCGAGGTTCAGTTTCAGCTTCTCTCTATCTTCTTTTGAAAGATCTCGTCTTAACGACCACCCTTTCCCATCCTCATCCCTTTGCAATTTTCTAGCATTCCTTAGTACTTCTTCCATCTGTTTGGCACCGTTTAGGGTGATCCTCAAAGGTCGATCTTTCCCTTTTACGTACCTGCCTATTCTCCTGTAGTCGCACACATTCTCTCTGTTTGTAAGACCTTCCACGAGGCCAACAATTTTATCTACTACTTTAGCTTCTTCTACAGCTCTTTCTGACCTAGATGTTATCGCCTTTTCTTTGCAGCCAAAAATGATCAGGGACTTACTCCGATCAACTGTGTTTTGCACCAACTTCGGGTTAGATGCCAATTCTTTCCTCACTTCTAGCCTAATGTTTGTTTTATCTTGGTTGCTGCAGTGTTTGGCTTCCTTTACTGCTTCTTCTATTTTTTCCTTCTCCTTGGCCACTTGTGCATAAGTGAGTTGCATATCTTTCTTGCACTGTTCTATTCCCTGTGTAACTTCCTCCATCTGTGCTGACAAAAGCTGTTT